GCCCTGACCTGTGGAGTCCCACAGGGGTCGATCCTGGGACCTCTTCTGTTCAATCTCTACATGCTGCCGTTAGGTCAGTTAATACGCAGAAACGAAGTTTCCTATCATAACTATGCAGACGACACTCAGATCTATGTCTCACTGACTGCAGGAGAACATGGACCGGTGGACTCACTCCTTCACTGTATCCAACAGATCAGTGAGTGGATGCAAAACAACTTCCTTCAGCTAAACGCAGACAAAACTGAAATGATTGTCTTTGGTCCCCAGAAACAAAGAGAGAGCGTCATCTGTCACCTACAGTCTCTCTCCCTAAAACCTTCAAACAAGGTCAGAAATCTAGGGGTAATACTGGACTCAGACTTAAATTTTAATAGCCACATCAAATCAGTAACATCAGCAGCTTTTTACCATCTAAAAAACATTGCCAGGATCAAAAACATAGTGTCTAAAGCAGACCTGGAGATTCTTATCCATGCATTTGTCTCCAGTAGGTTAGACTACTGCAATGGCCTGCTCACAGGTCTATCCAAACAGGCTGTAAAACAGCTGCAGTACATTCAAAATGCAGCAGCTCGAGTCCTGACTAGAACCAGGAAGTACGACCACATTAGTCCAGTTCTCAGGTCTCTGCACTGGCTTCCTGTGGCTCAGAGAATAGACTTTAAAACAGCTCTGCTTGTGTACAAGTCTCTCCATAGCCTCGCACCAAAATATATTAGTGACATGTTAGTCCCATATGAACCAGCCCGGACTCTGAGGAGCACAGGGACTGGACTCCTGTTAGTGCCCAGAGTCAGAACTAAACATGGGGAGGCTGCTTTTCAGATTCATGCTGCTAAAATCTGGAACAGTCTTCCTGAAGATGTGAGACAGGCCTCCTCTCTGACAATGTTTAAAACCAGGTTAAAGACAGTTCTGTTTAACTGTGCATACAACTGAGGGATTTTATATTTCTATCTTTTCTTTTTAATGTTCTGTGATAATTTATGATTTTAATGCTTTCTTGTTTTGTTCAGCACTTTGAATTGCCTTGTGTATGAATTGTGCTATATAAATAAACTTGCCTTGCCTTGCCTTGCCTTAAGTTAAAGCAGGCGTGGGAACCGTTATCTCCGGATCAGGGCCGCATAAGGATACTGCAATATTGCCTGTTTTTACCATAGACTGTGTATATTAACGGACAGAGTCACGCCTATCTCCTCCGTTCTAACTAATGGGCCAAAAATTGTGCTCTACTGGAGCTATCAAAAATGGCCGCGAGTGGTCCCGTCCACAAGAAAATTGTGAAAAAACGCATCTGCGCATGCGTCAGCCGGCGCAAGCTCCATTCATTTGAACGAGAGACTTCAAAAATTCACAGCAAGTAAACTAGAGTGGACCAAAAAAAATCACCCCCTCAGCATTGACACACATGTGGAACGGAGCTTTGGGCCAAGAGCCAACTTCTGGTCCATCCTGTAAAGACGCTTTCGAGAGGTCTGCCAATGCTATATGTTAGCATTGGCTAATTCTTCTTCTGGGTCCACCCCCATCGGCCCGGGGTGGTATTGCAAGCATGTCAGCGCACGTCATTTTGGCCACTTTGAGCTGGGACCCGCCCCCACTGGTTTTTACATGGTCATTATTTAATACATTTTTTCAAAACATATTTTCTACTTCCTAATAACAGTACCAATTAAAAATGTAATGAGCATGCTAATAATTGGGCTATCTCACTACTCTTCTACTCCCCAATCAATCATTGTGTCCAGGTTCATTTGAGCCACTCTGTTTATGTTTACGGTTCTTTGTGATTTCTCTGTGACCGAAAACAGTTCAGGAAAGACAGTAGCGGACTGAAATAAATTAACTAGTGTCCTTTTTCTAAAATATATTTTAGGCATGGGGCTTCCGGAAAAATTATCCTATACCTTTTAAGCTACGTTAGTTATAAGATACTACAACAAATGTATTTCAATGGGACAAGCACTTTGGTCGTGTTTCAAGTGGTTGCAATTTTCTTTGTCTCTTTTAAAACCAGATTTTTTTTGCTTGTTCCATTGGGTAACTTTGTTTAAAGGTTGTCAAAATGTACTCAAATTAAAATACATTTTGACCTTTTTGTCACTTTATGCAGTGACAACACGTGTAGACATATTTTTGATGAATTATGACTGATTACAATTTATTTCAGTATTTATAACAAAATACAGAATAATATGGCTTTCCAATGAAGTTTAACATGCCATGATTGCACATATTAAGTTGCCAGCCTTCACTGATTATTGATTTACGTAAATAAAGACAGTAGAGTGATCAGGTCTGGGTTAGAGTGCAAAAAGCCAGGAGACTCTTTAGCTTTGCTAGACCCACCAAAGACTCATCTGTTCCATAACTACTCCTACTGACATTACTAATAAAACTAAAATTGATTATCTTATTCAAACTATGAATAATTATATTACATGCACACTTGTATTGCACTTTACGAGTCTGGCAAGAGTCTCCAAGTCATTATTCATTCACTCCACACTCAAAGGTGTGTTTTCCACTCTGCTCAAGTTTCTTCCAACATAAGCGTGTTTTTCCTCCCCCTCCAGCCGCAGTCTTCCTTCCTCTCCTCTCACACTGTCCTGCTGTCCTCTGCTACGTTTGATGTGTTTGTGCTCCCTGAGTAAACGTCTGCGCTCCACTTGTCCATCTCGCTCTGTCCTCCTGCGCCATCTGTCAATGTGGTTAGCGTTTGCTCCGCACTCCCCTGCCCACAAAGTCAAAGCCCAGCTGTGGTCTGGAGGTGGCAACCCCGAGTTAGAATGGGGCTGACCCGCTGAGGAGGACCGAGGGGTCAGAGCATTCACGTGGTAGGATGTTCATTCAAAACTTTGCCAATGATAGTGCTGCATGTTCTGAAAAGAGATTTCAGAATCTCTTTTTCCAATTTTGTTTCCAGACTTTTGTTCTTTGTTCAGACCCATGCCCAGAAATATATGAATCAAGGCAGTGAGTGCGCAAGATTTCAGAATCTTTTTTCAGGGGAGTCCTACATGCAGACACAGGGAGAACAAACTATTACTATTACTAACAATAATAAAAACACTATACTCGAACAATTTCAATACTAAGTGTTCTATTTTAACACAAACAATTGTTCAAAACAGTAGTTCTGGTACCATCACACTGATGATTTTTCCTACTTTTGACATTCCTAGTCTGATGAAGAACCAAGGCACCTAAAACACCAGCGGTTTTAAAATTAAGAGCTTGTAGCATTGAGGTGCTCTTTCTTACATTATGTCTTTCTCTCAGTCTTCAGAATATTGTAAACACTATTCTACTACTTCTCATTGATACTCATGAGAAAGTGTGCAAGGGGAGAGCAAACTTTCACTACATGGGAATACTCCATTTTCAAACCAAACCCTGAACAAGTTCCAATTTTGTTTCCAGACTTTTGGTAATCTTTGTTCAGACTCCTGCCCAGAAATATATGAATCAATGCAGTGAGTGCGCGCGTCTGGCATAAATATTATTATTACTAGTGTATAAAGAATTAGTTTGGTTTGGCATGTAATGATCAGGTTTTCATATTGTTTTGGATTTAGATTGTTACAATTTGTTTGAGATTGTTTTGATTTGTTCTGATTTTTGCCCGTCTGAAAAAAGCACAAATGGACGGTGACATGTTTCCAGCATGCAGGGTCACACAAAAACTGGAATATGACATACATTTTTGATTTGATGTTGATTTTGTAGGACTTTTGCTCAGCCAATGATAGACTTGCCAATTTAAATATTTGATTTGTCAGAAGACTGATTGGTCAAAACGCTCCTGTGTTGCTTTATGCACAAGTATAAGAGCAACGTGAGCAAGCACCGCCGTCCGCTATCAGTGCTGATTTGCCAGAATGCTCTTGTGTTGCGCTGGTCTTGCAGAATTAGAACACTGGGCACAAATAACAAATGCATCACTTCCACTAATTTTTCCATCAGCGATCTTAGGCCAATGAGCACTGGCCATTGGTTTGAATGCTCCGTCCACTGCAACAGACAAGTGAAAGCAGTTGCAGTAGACTGTTTGTTCCTGCGGCATGTGCTCTGGGGAAGTGATATGTGCGACACTTACTGTACCAAGTGCAGTGTGAAACCTCAGGCAAATGTCACTAAAGATAAAAGACCTTTAGTGGTCCAGTAGGGATATTTCTGTGTTGAAACATACATTTCAAGAAATTACACTTTTAATTACAACAATTTTGATCGTTTTTCAAACTCAAGCAATGTAATCAAGCAAATAAGTTTCTAACAAGAACAACACAACTACTGCCAATGTCTTCACTTATGTATTTTATTCAGGAACAATGTATAAGGAGTAATGACAAAATTATAACAGTGCAACCACCCATAAAGTGTATTGTGCACCATTGGCGTGGTTGCTCAGACCTCTCTGGTGTGCGAGCGGTGCCCTTTCCTTATGTGGTTTAGCCATTTCCTCTGAGGAGAGCACTGTGGTGAACTTGTCAACCCAATCAGCCAAGCATGCTCAGTGATGACTCTTACATCTGTCGCACAAGGTCAAAGAACCCTATTTAGTGTAATGAAGGATGGTCTGGGATTGTGGTAAAAACTCTCAAATGCTTTTAACATACTATCCTCATTATTTTTGGTTGGTTGTGCCCAGATATCAAGACTACTGAATGGCATATCAGACACATCCTCTTTCAGGAAATCCTGGATAAAACACTAAATGTCCTGATAGTTCTTTAATCCCTCAGCATGTAACAATTAGTCATGGTTATTGATACAACATTTTTATTATTTTATTGTTCTCAGTACTCTGTGTCTACAGTGCCATTCCTCGAGTATGTGAGAAGCTTGTTAAATCAGTCTTTTTGAATGATACAGTAAAAATAGCATTGTTTATATAATTGAATCACTTGAATTATATTAGAGTGAAGTCTTGATCAACGTATATTTGAAACATATATGTTCATGCTAATTGAGATTTGTGTTTCTGTCTATAGACCCAACGTGTGCGGCTCCCGTTTCCACTCCTACTGCTGTCCTGGCTGGAAGACTCTGCCTGGAGGGAACCAGTGCATTGTTCGTAAGTACAACCAGATATAAAATACTGTCCATTCCTTTTCCTCTTGTGTGAGATTAGCTCCCAGAACGACTGCTTGACTTCCCATAATCCTTTTTACACATTAATGCACATAATATGTAAGTAAGTGTTCTTTATTTTATATACCAGAGTCACAAAGCACATATAGTATACCAGAGTCAGAAAGTTTGATATAGGGATTATTTATTGCTTGTCATTATGGTCATTATCCAAAGCTAATTGCATTTGGATTAATTGTTTGGACTAAAATGAATTCTGTGCTTGTTTCTTCATCTTTAAAATGGGCCATATACTGTATTGGTTGGATGGTGAGCTGATGGCTGAGAAAAACTGACTATATTTGTTTAATAAATCGCTCGGCCTTCATCGATGGTGTCGTGCAGTTATGTAAATGCTCTGTATTGGTCAATATCTGTAAGTCTGTGATTCTGTCATCCAGTGTTTTGAACCAGTGTTCTTGAAAATCTTACCGCTAAAGCCTTCATTGTGTCCACTTGATATGTTTTCAATGTTCAAGGATTTTTGTTTTTGATTATGTTGGAAGTCGAGTTGTTTTGGATGTTTTTCCTACTGCCCAGAAACACACCGTGGTTCACCCACTTATATAAAAGACATCTATTCTTTCTTCATTTAAATATCCAGCTCCAAGTCACCTTTTCTGTCTAATGGTTTAGAAAAGATTGTTTATTATGACTGCAAGAATACTTCTTTATTTATTTTCTGCATGAGAAAAATTAGGTTTTAAATCACAGCATCGTCCTGTGCATTTAGTTAAGTTAGTTAGTTCAGTCTAAACTTAGGCCTCTGCTAACTCTTGTGTGTCCCAGGTTCAACATTAGCCCTGGCCCTGTTAGGTCTCTCCTTTTGTCTTTTCTTGTCATTTGCAGATGATATTCAGCTGCATCTGCTTGTGACAGCAAATGACAGCCAAACCACAATCAGTCAGTGATGTGCAGACATGGATGACGACCAATTTCCTGAACTTAATCAAAACAAAACAGAAATTGTGTTTTTTGGCCAAACCAACTTACTGCTTGGGCATGCTAGTGTGATCGGTGTCTTATTAGTGCAGCCCTTCAGTGAGGAATTTTGGTGAGATTGTCAACTTCAAATGACTTCAACTGAGTTTATTGTCTCCATAGGAAAATAGCTCAGTTCAGTGTGCATCTCTCAGACACCATGGTCCTTTTACGGGATCGCTTTAGAGACGAGAGAGATGTAAAATTAAGGTGCTCTAGTTTGTCTTCTAATGAATTCAATTTGCCAGTAAACTTGAATTAGTAAATGTATGTTTTAAATCTCCATGTACCCAATTGTGGTCATCATAAACCAGTGCCCCAGTGGCTCAAATCTCAAACTGTAACGACCATTCAGCCACGTTGCTGAATTGTTAAAATATTAGGTTTTGAATGGCTTAATGTACTAATATCTTTGTATTCAAAAGTGGGCATAGGTCTGGATTTGATGTGTTTGTACTATTTGTCTCCCCTTCAGCAATCTGCAGGAATTCTTGTGGAGATGGTTTCTGCTCCAGACCCAACATGTGTACCTGCTCTAGTGGACAGCTCTCCCCCAGCTGTGGAGCCGGAGCTGGAAGTGAGTCACTCATAAACAACCATTAATCCCTTCAGTCACATGCAAATGCAACCTTTGAGAGCTTTGTGTTCAAACTTCTGAACATAAATCTTGCAGAACATACTACATTCTTAAGTGACTATTAATCACCACTAAAGCTTGTATAGGTCTCAAAGAGCATCAGTTCTGACAAGAAAAGAAAATAGTTTGGTGTTCCTAATGCTTAATCATTGCACCATTATCTGAGTACGTTATCAATGTAGAAGCAATAAAATAGCCATTCTAATTGAGGCCACATTACCTGGTTAAACTATCCAAACAAAACTTTCAAACAATGTTATACACAACTGCAGTTTGTGGCCACTCCATATCCAGGCTCTTGTCCAAATGTAACGATCCTGCATTTCCTTTCCCGGGAGAGAAAGCAGTTGTGGAGCCTGTAACGAGCACAGGGTGCAGACTTTAGGTCGTAGAGTTTGTCCGGATTAAAGTTGGCCAGACACAAAGTTTATGAGAAATTAGTGGAGTAGCAGGGGTTAATGCTTCATATGCTTTACATCATAATTTAAGAACAGTGAGTGGAGGAAATATTGGAAAGTGAGGATTTGTTGTGTAGCTCAACAATGTTATCCTATTTTTTTGGATCCAACTATACATTTTTCACATGTTAGCATCTTGACAATTCAATGTCACGAGACCCTGAGACACAAGATACTGTCCCACCCCTGATCCTTACTATTAAGCACACTAAATTAAACTAAATTAAATTAAAGTCTGTTTATAGGTCAGTGTTAACTTTTACCAGTGCACAAGATAACACAACTCATATGTTTTAACAAAGCATTTGTTCATACATTTATAGTATTTACAGTATTAACAGGCAGTGACAGCACAGAGAGGACATCCCTACACAAGGTGTCCTAAGCTCTTGCTCCTCCAGGTCACTACACAAACATTTACGGATAAACTCTTTAGCTGCTTTGTTCAATGTCAAAGGTCAAACTGCTCCATGACCTCATCGATCACAAAGTGAAACGCACCGACTGACCCATTCAGACCATCAGGTGACCTTTAGGCCTAGGTTTGGTTAAAAGGGCCTCTTTGTTTGAAAAGTGATTACCTAATAACTAAAGATAATAATAACAATGTTGTTTATTATAATAATAATAATAATAATAATAATAATTATTATTATTATTATTATTCATATAATAATAATAATTATTAATATTATTATTATTGTTTTGTTCCACCGCTGTGTCCTGGGGTCGACGTGGCTCCCATTGACCTGGAGATTATTCCCAGACTCAATGACAGGGTTTAGAGAAGTCACCCTTTTAATAAAGCGACACAGCTCAGCTCAGAGCAGCTGTCCACTTGAGTATATAGGAGAAACTTTATGAACCTTGTCTTGCCATAACCATAATTACAAAATCATTACCGTGCACATTTGAGCCCTAATGCCTAGAAACAGCTGTGTTAAACCTGACAGGCTTCCATTGGGCAGTGACATGGGAGCCCTGATAACACAGACTATAATTATAAACTAGTGGATCCTGACACAGTTCTTCTTGTTGACAATGCAGAATAAAAATTAAAGAACATCTTAGGCAACTTATCCCTGATGTGTATGTGTAATACCAGACAAAAGAGTGCCATAAAGACCATTTTCCATCAGACCAACTTCCTGTTTCTCAGCCTCTCGTAAAAAACACCCAGATGTTAGCGGCTCACCGGCGACACTCAAGCACAGAGGTGCATTGTGGGGCAGCACTCCTTGTTCATGTGCACATGCACCGGTCACAGAGCAGGACTCAGATTGAAAAGGCATGACAAGAACAAAGTATCAGCCAGTGAGATCATCTCCTCCTCCGTCTCCAAAATATGCACAATTACTTCCTCTATGATTTTGACGCTGAGAAAACATGTGGCACCAACTCAAACTTTAAATAAGCTTCTTTAGTGTTGCTGTCATTGTCTTCTCTGAGTTCAGGTTGTTTACAATGTTATCATAGCAACCAAATGAAAGCAAATCAAACCATAATGATTATTGTCAACATGTAGAATTGGCCAAACAACAGCTTATACTTTAAGGTTATTACTAAACCCTTCCATCAAATCTTGAAATGCATGTTAAAACATTTACTGTATGCCATCGAACAAAATTCAGCTTCTTTCCTTGTTTCAGAACTAGTACAAGATCACTTTGAACCATCATCAGAGTCCAAAAAGAGCTGTATCCTGTTAGCATAAAAGGAATTTTGAGCATTCTTGCTAATAGATTAAGACAAAGAAACCAACTGTCCCACAATGTTGAAAACACAATCCACCAAAGTAAACATGTCTTGATGTGATTAAAAGAAAGATCTTCACCACTTCACAAACATTGCCTTCTAACAAATGCTTCTCGGTCTATTTAGCAACTTCCAAACACGTTTACCCAAAGTGCCCTCTGCCTTCAATATCTGCCTGACATTACACTTATGGTTCATTCTTCGACAGTGTGGTTGAATGGTTGAATACAAGTGTTTGACATGTCTCACATTGCTGCATAGTTGGCTCAAAGACAAAGTAAAGGAATAGATTGCTCCAGCTGTGTAAGGGGAAAAGACTGAAAGCAAGATTGGAGTCGTGTCTCTGAGGAGCAAGTGAGGAGACAGAGAAGAGCCAGCATACAGTAAAAGCCAACGAGAACTGCCAGAGGATATAATTTATCACTGCATGTGCAACGAGACTGACTCAAGCTCCTGCCAAATCGCTCATGTGAGAGAGGCTATTGAAGAATCGTAATTTTGTGTTACAAATGGACCAAAGGGAAGAAACATCAACTTTAACAGCTTACACTACCACATTCAAACTGTGTCTAGTCAAGTATGTGTCAGTATACTGCTAAAAGATCTGTTTTGATGCAGTAGCACTCACATGATGGCCTAAATTCAATAAGTGCTAGAATGTGAAAACTTCCTTTCCTCTCAGTCTTTTATTACAACACTACTGTAATTCATGTGCTGCTCACTCACATTGTAAATCTCATTAGACTAAGTTCAGAAAGACTCGGCCATTTCCCCTCTGCTGTTGAACCCTGCAAGCTTCAAATGTCGTAGGGACTGAGACACACAAACACACACGGACACACACACACGAACACACATACGGATGGACAGAGGAAGATGGAGATATTCTCAAGAGGAAATTAATGTTGAATTTGAGATTACTGTATAGAGCATAGAAGGCAAGAGAGGAAAAGGAAACTTAGGAGAGGGATTCTAGAGCAAAGAGGGCAGAGGAGATAACTGAGAAAAGAACATAGATGCGTTTAATGCTCCACTCACAGTCTGGTTCACATTAGTGTCTACTCTATACTTTCACTTGCTCATACTGTCTATGCTGGTCCTGTTTGAATATACCGCGTCTGGGACCGTTCAGTACATTAAGTCAGTGTTTTTCAACCACTGTGCCGCGGCACACTAGTGTGCCGTATGATATTGTCTGGTGTGCCGTGAGAAATTCGTCTACTTTGTCTAAAAATAACTGCATTCGCTGTTGACGAGCGGTGACTTGTTTTGAACTGTGGAGTAACCATGTAATACTTTTTCAAATCAGTAGATGGCAGCAGATAGCTAAGTACTTTGAAACTGAAAAATTGGATGCGACCACTGGCTGTAACAGGTCAGCATTGTGGCGAGAAAGGTAAAATTGGATGCGACCAACAAATGTGGGAGGGAGCTTTGTGGCGAGTGAGAAGTGAAAGTGATAGAGACGTTTTTGAAAATGAATTATGCCATTTCTGAACAGGATTAACATCCTCCGCTCTGCCCCGGGGCAGCTGTGGCCGCGTTGTAGTGGTTTAACTATGAAATGTACAATTTTTGTACAACAGCTCTCGCGAACGCACTTCTGAACTGGGTACCGAGCGCAGACCATAGTCGAGTGGACAGAACCATAGACATGCGGACCGGACAGAACCATGGACTCGCGTTCAGGACCTCCCGTGTCCCTCATCCAAAACTCCTGAATTTAAAGCTCGGATACCTAAATTTTTCCCATGCACTAACAATGCATGTTCTTTGTGTGAGTTATTATTTGACTATTTGGGCAGAGAGTGGATTTTCTTATTTTTTTTCCACACAGTTAGTGCCACTTTATTCCCAAACTCTTGTTAATTGTATCGAGAAATATTAAATAAAGCTTAATGTCAAGGCCTGGACTTAAGCATTTTGATGAGAATAACTGTATATTGTGAATATAGGCTACAGAGTATACTGTATACATTATAAGATAAGATACGATATACTTTATATATCACACAGAGTATGTACAGTATATATTTTTTTACATTAGTACTGTATACATTTTTACATTTTCTCCTGGAGGTGTGCCGCAAGATTTTTTCAGTGAAAAAAGTGTGCCTTGGCTCAAAAAAGGTTGAAAAACACTGCATTAAGTAACTGTGTCTAGGTTGGACTATTGGGGTTCTCAGATTAGATTCTGCATCTACATTTTGCTTCTAATAGGTGTTTAAGGAATCCTCACTGAATTATTTCAACAATAAAAATCGTCTACTGTTTGTATAAATTGATGAAAATATAGATGATATTTTCATGCAAATTAGCCTCAGACTTTGGTTGTTGTATGGTTAATGTTGAGTAAAGCTGTTTCAGATGAATATTGGAAGAATATAAAAAAGATTATGTCATGGCCATAATAGAGCAGTGCAGTTACTACTATAATGATTTTCTAATTTTCTAATTTTGATAATCAAATCAGCTACAACATTTAGAATAAAATTGACTATATTGTTGTTACCGGCAATTCACTTCTTATACCCTAAACCTTTTCAAAACAAATATTGATTATACCTTTCAAAAGTAATTATATGAAATAATTGTTGTTTAGATAATGAGTAAAATAATCATGGACAACCCATGAAATAGCCTTGTGAGCGTCTGTTCTCCGTGCAGTGAGTTTGGCCCTTGTACTTTGGCCTCATAGCCAGGTGCTCCTGTTTCACATCACACCACCTCACTCCTGCTGCTGTCTGCCAGCTCTGATTCCACTGTCAAGCTGTGGAGAGAAAGTTGCAATATCACTTTGCCTAACTTCAGCTCATCTGCAGATTGAAAAAGGGGGGCACATTTAGAAAACTATATGAGTGAGCATGAGTGCATTATGCTTAGTGCCAGGCTACTTTATGAGAATATTGGTTGGATGAATAATATGTCAATTATAACACATATCTGTCACCTTGTTAGTTTTGAACAGTCTCCATCATGTTTCCTATGTTACTTCTGTTGTCTCCACAGTTCAGTCCTGTAACATCCGGTGTATGAATGGAGGCAGCTGTGCGGAGGACTCGTGTTCCTGTGCAAAGGGTTACACTGGGAACCACTGCGGACAACGTATGCCCTTATTCCCTCATTATAATCTATAACTGATTATAACCCTTATAATCTAAGCCGTCTGATTTTGACCTCTCCTCTTCTTCTCTTGTAGCGGTCTGTGAGAGTGGCTGCCAGAACGGTGGGCGCTGCATCGGGCCCAACAGATGCGCCTGTGTCTATGGTTTCACTGGCCCGCAGTGCGAGAGAGGTGAGAGCTTCTACTATAGCTTTGTTATGTTCTATGCTGTCAGATAGAGCTGTGCCAGCAATCTAAAAAATCTAAAGCAGCCCCAATTTATAACTTGGGAGATACCCCTAACTCACTAAAAGAGATTTCAAAGAATCACATTCATATTTAAAATGTTCCCATGGTACAACTTTGTGCACTACTAAATGGATAGCAGATTGGTTACAGTTTGATGCCTCTAACCCAAGTGTGATTGCACCCATCACTACTGTGGCAGTAACAGTGAGGGAGGATGTTTTTACCATCAAATCACTTACTTAGGGGCGACATTAGCTCAGTTGGTAGCGCCTTTGGGCCTGAAGGTTGTGGATTAAATTCCCACCTCAACACCTTCTCCACCAACTCCCACTGATGACTGCTGTTGTTGTGTCCTTGGGCAAGACACTTAACCCCACTTTGCCTGAAGCTCCCGCTGAAAGATCAAGGCTATACTTACACTTACAGAGCAGCCATCCTCCTGTGGACTCACCACCTGCAGAGGAAGAGTGAGGGGCTGGTGCTCTGTGACTTGGGTGCAGCTCTGACTGCCACCCCCCTGACCCAGAAATGGATTAAGGGGTAGAAAATGGATGGATGGATGGATGGATCACTTACTTATTAATTTATTTCAATTTTTTGTATATTGTCAGACCAGTTCTTTTCTTTTGTTTTTAATATAAGTATTTGATTTATATTTTTGCAAATTGGTCATGTTACCCCTAAATTTCCTAGCCAGTCATCTGACGGGGAATGGATACAATTGTATTTATTATAAAGATAATAAAATTATATATAACTTAATTGATCTCATAGTGGAGAAATGTACACGGGATGCATTTCTCACCTGCTTGACCTCAACATTTCACTCTTTTCTCAGTTTTGTCTTTTAACAACCTGTTTCTGCTCAGCTATTCCCAGCCTGTAATTTCACCTACTTTTTCTCTTTTACTCTTTCTAAGTACATATCATCAGTTTTCCTCAAGCCTATTTCCCACAGTGTGAAAACCCCCTGTAACACTCAATTTATTGTGACTGTATGTCTTCCCTCCCTTCTTCATCACTCATCTTCTAGTAACATTATAGCGTTGTTTTTCTTGGTAAGAGTTGTTGGAGACAAAGACTTTACTTATTAAAAAAATACATACGTCCCCCACAGGACTCTGCTGCCAGAATATACTTTGTGAAGGACATTTCCTGATGTGGAGCAGTCTGAGGAGACTGGAAATAAAAATGAACTTGCAGCTGTTTAAACAAATCAGGAAAACATTGTAAATACAGAACTATTAAGTCTTAAGTAAAATAACTGAAAATGAATCATATCATAATAAATAACAACAATTTAATTGTTTTATTATATTGAGCAGAAGACATGTTATAGCATTGGGGATCTCTTATAGGTCTCTTCATAGGTCGTAACATCCTCCCTGGGAAAATGTATATCTAAATTTAATTGAGATAATTGCCTGTGGTTGAGAGTTAGTGTAAAGGCAGCCATAAGGCAATAGATTTACAGTGTGATCGGGTGAGAAAAGTGCTGATGAGGGAGGATATCGACATACTTCTATAACACTGTGACCAGCTTTGCTTAAACGGGTCGTGTATGAGGCTCCAGAATATACACTGAGCATAGTGAAATGACTTCATATGAAAGATGACTTTTTACAGATCTATAAAATCTGTCTCTGCTGTTAGACTTTTGTTCTGTGTCACCAAATCTCTTTGAAAGTGTAAATGTCTGCGTATTCACTCATGTGCACTTTGACATAGATGAACATATGTTGTCTTTGCTTGGTCCGGCTCAAGTGCAGCTTGGGCCTTTTTGTGGTCCACGTATCCCACTGCGGTGACTCCCAAAGGCAAACTGTGGTTCAGTCTGGACCAAATAAACTCAGTAGAGGAACAGACTTGCCCTTCGGCCAGCTGACGTCAAGGGCATTATGATATTGTGAAAGCAAAGGAAGTGGTGCTATTTGTGGTCCATTGATTGTAGGGGCCAAGAAGAATCGCATAGTTGGTCAGGATAAATGTATTGAAACGCAGAGGTCAATATTTGAACATTCATCATTATGCAACACAATGTTAAGGGCTTACAAAGCAGCAAATACACAGTTTGGTGAGAAGGTCAAGAGTTCACTTCCACTTAGGAAGGCTGTCAAACATTAGCAGTACCAAGCCCAGATAAATGAAGTAATTTGTGTCTTTTCTGAATAGCCTAATCTATACAGTTTATCAACAGAATGTAGGCTAGAGTCTAGACAATTTTGGTCCCTATGACTTGACATGTAATCCATTTAGAAACTATAATTGTCAAACAGAAAACCCATCAATTACATCCTAATGTCTGCTGTTTTTTTCTCTGACTGTGTGTGTGTTTTCCATATGTTCTTATGGTTTGTGGGACAAAGCCATACATTTTAGTCTTCATCTGGAAAGGCTCTGCTAATACAATGCACCCTTTCGCAACAAGCTCCAAATGTAACCACTATATCACGTCGGAATTTTAAGCGTCACAAAACTGTGTGTAGTATTTGCATAGGGCACTATTTTCAGAACTCATTATTAACTGCTTTTAAGTTTGGAGTTTGCTGAGGAACATGTTTAGCTTTGATCTAAAAGAAAATGCTTTGATTTGTGGCACTTTTAAAACAACATTACAAAGGATGTCCCCTGAGAACACAACTTGTTGATGGAGCTTGGAGCCCACTTACTTATAGCATGCGTCTGGCTTTGTGTATATGATTGTTCTATTGCTTAAAAGTGGAAGTTTCCCAGGAGCAAAAAAGCTGTAAAAGTCAAGATAACCTTTGCAAAACAAAGAAAACGGAAAAGTAGTGATAGACAGTATGCAGACATTGTTCTGAAAGTTATTTAAATAAAGCCATGTTTGTATGCTCACGTTTTCTTCCAACTGTTAATGAGAGATTGTCTGATACGACAAAGACCTTATCTCGCTATTCTCCCATACGCTGTATGTGTTTGAGCCACATTAGTCTTTGGTGTAAACAAAAAGACACAAGCTCATCGAGGAAGGAGGAAAAAGGATATTTCAAGGCTGTTGATAATGCTTCTGATAAGACTTACAGACTGCTATGCTTGGCAGTGGCGACAATAAACTTCCCACACAGTCACATGCACTGCAACAGGGAAGGCCACACGTTTGAATTATTTATTTAGATCAGAGTAAACACAACAGAGAACATACAAACAAGTGGAGTCAAAAATTCCACCAGTGAAGCCAGCCATTTAACAACCGTGCAGGCCACAAATACGTACATTTGGCTATTGCTTCATAGGTGAGTAACAGGCGCAAAGAATGCAGCTGAGAAGTAATTCATTCTTCCCCCTAGTTATGTTGCTGTACTTGGATAGTACTAAACGCCTATAGACTGGTTATCTTTCAGGCCTCGCTTTCACACTTTATAAATATTTATGAGTGGTTATTTATGTTTTAGAAGAAAATAGGGAGTTTAGACTGACAAAGGCATATACTAATTTACTTTATGTGTATGTGTAATAATAATAATAATACATTAATCTTAACTATTCCCAAAAATCTTCTCATTCCAAGCAGATTTAGGCGTTTTCACCTTGAACCCCACTACATTCCATCCTCCTCAAAGTTGGTTCATGACAGGAGATGGCTTAACCGGCTTTGATGATGTTTAAGCAGTTTAGGGGATTGGCCTACAAAAACATAATATGTGAAACAGGCTGTTCGTAATAAAAGGCTTTTTGTGATTTAATGTAATGTGAACTGGACTGGGGCAAGGGTCATGAGACTATTCCTAGAATCTTTGATTTATCAGCCACACTCTACAAAGTCCAGATCATTCTCAAACTATTCAGGTAAACGGCCAGATTTGTCTCGCATCTGTAAATGTATGTATAGTTCGATACGAGTTTGAGCTTCGTTCTTTTTGCAACCAAAGAGTGAACAGGTTAATGTTGATGGAGAGCGGAAAGAGCATCTCTTTGATCTGTTGGCCAATTTGGACACTAATTGGAGCAAATTGTTTCCGAATGCGGTCAGCCGGATGTTGAATAGTCCTCCTGTCCCAGCCTGTCTGTGTCCCCGCTGTCATGCGGAGTGCAGACCATTGATTCATATACTTTGGGGATTCAAGCTTGAGTCGCGATGTTGAGCAGAAGCTGGGCTTTGTATGATATGTAATGTTTTAATTATCTTTATAAACTTGACATTGATTATGTATTAGCATGTTTTGTCTGTCGTTATTTCCGTTTTTAGGTTGACTATGTTCTTAACAGTTAAGATAGTAAACAAAAAATACGGAATTGTTCTAAATATGAAAAAAGTTCATGGCAAATTAGACTCTTTCCAAGCCCCAGAGAAGTTCAAACTTGAACTTCCTTATTAGTCTGACTTTTTACTGCCTAGGTTCTCATTGAACTTCTCCATTGGATTCCTTAATCCTCACATAACACAATTTGATGGATGATATATTGCTTCACAAGATTATAAAGCAAATAAAGCCTCTTAGTCCATGTAAAATCATGCGTCAAGAAAATATACAGCAAAATGGAGTAATATTTATATTTCAACCTTCAACAACTATAAGTAAGTTATAGTTAGTTTTTATAGGGCTTTTCACAGACTGAGAGTCACAAAGCAGTTTATTAGTTCAGTTTACGTGGAGTTTAAGGTTTCACTTAATGTCTGGTGATGGTAACAAGGTGCTGTGGGGAAATGCCAATGCTTTAGAATGTGGTAGAGTTGCGCAACAATCCCAAAGATAATAATCCCAGCCACGAGGGGTCAGCGAGAACCATGGTCTGTGAGTGATTCTGTTTTTTTCTATAGTTCTGTCTAGGTTTGCCTTGGTTTTGATCATCTGTAATGTGCTGTTGTCTGGAGAAATGGGGTTTTAAAGCTATATTTTGGCTTTCACTATGTGCAGGTGTGTGGATGTGCAGACTGTTTTACTACAAGCCTTTGTCTCGTCTATTTGATCAGACACTGTTCTCTCTGCCAACCTGACTGCATACGGATATGAGAGCTACACCTGGGAGTCATGTAGTAGGCAGAACAAAGTGAAGGAAGATGAGCTGGCGCAAAACCAGCAATATTTTTCATGCTCAGTCTGACCTCCTTTTTATACGAAAGAAAATAGAGCACAGAAAAAACAACTTTAATTTCCATTCTGTGTTCATTTGTATCTATCTCTGTTCAGTTTGACTTTTCCAAAGTATTAAGTATTGAGTAGTACAACATATTGAGTATCAAATGTCCACTATAGACAACATTCTATTCCACATAGAATTAAAAGTACCTATGCTGCTGAATTTTAATGACTTTAAAACTACTCAAATAATGTTCAGGAATCAGGATATCTATTAATTTTAAGGGGGAATTTATTCTCCAAAAAGAGAATTTATAAGTAATTGCTGTGGTTTGGAAATTGGTATCTAATATCAAAGTAGAGTTTGAAATTTAGCATTGTGACAACACAAACTGGAACATCAAACTGGTTTCAGAAAGAAGTCTTTGTCTTCGATCGCTCAAGTGTGCTTAACATGATTATTTACCATCAAACACAAGCTCCGACTGGCAGTGCCTCGTGCAATTAAGTTCTTTTGTTTGTTTGGCTTTGGTTAGAGTTAAAGAGTTAGTCTCGGCTCAAAGTGCCTCTAGAACTACCGCTAAGATTTTAATTGTTTTAATTATCGTAGATGTATTCAGAAAGAACTGCTCTGCCAACCCAAACTGAAAAACATAATGTGCCAATTTAGTCCTGCTACCAGCTCCTCTTCTCCTCACAGATGTTTTCCTTGTAAAAAAAAAGCATCTGCTTGTAAATGCTGTTCTTTATTTCCTGGTTTTGGATCTGAAGTTCATATAATTAAAGTGATGTGTTTAAAAGTATAGTGAGTCATTACTTTAAATCAGTGTTTTTCAACCACTGTGCCGCGGCACACTAGTGTGCCGTATGATATTGTCTGGTGTGCCGTGAGAAATTCGTCTACTTTGTCTAAAAATAACTGCATTCGCTGTTGACGAGCGGTGACTTGTTTTGAACTGTGGAGTAACCATGTAATACTTTTTCAAATCAGTAGATGGCAGCAGATAGCTAAGTACTTTGAAACTGAAAAATTGGATGCGACCACTGGCTGTAACAGGTCAGCATTGTGGCGAGAAAGGTAAAATTGGATGCGACCAACAAATGTGGGAGGGAGCGAGACAAGAGCTTTGTGGCGAGTGAGAAGTGAAAGTGATAGAGACGTTTTTGAAAATGAATTATGCCATTTCTGAACAGGATTAACATCCTCCGCTCTGCCCCGGGGCAGCTGTGGCCGCGTTGTAGTGGTTTAACTATGAAATGTACAATTTTTGTACAACAGCTCTCGCGAACGCACTTCTGAACTGGGTACCGAGCGCAGACCATAGTCGAGTGGACAGAACCATAGACATGCGGACCGGACAGAACCATGGACTCGCGTTCAGGACCTCCCGTGTCCCTCATCCAAAACTCCTGAATTTAAAGCTCGGATACCTAAATTTTTCCCATGCACTAACAATGCATGTTCTTTGTGTGAGTTATTATTTGACTATTTGGGCAGAGAGTGGATTTTCTTATTTTTTTTCCACACAGTTAGTGCCACTTTATTCCCAAACTCTTGTTAATTGTATCGAGAAATATTAAATAAAGCTTAATGTCAAGGCCTGGACTTAAGCATTTTGATGAGAATAACTGTATATTGTGAATATAGGCTACAGAGTATACTGTATACATTATAAGATAAGATACGATATACTTTATATATCACACAGAGTATGTACAGTATATATTTTTTTACATTAGTACTGTATACATTTTTACATTTTCTCCTGGAGGTGTGCCGCAAGATTTTTTCAGTGAAAAAAGTGTGCCTTGGCTCAAAAAAGGTTGAAAAACACTGCTTTAAATCATTGTGTTTCTCTGCCAGTTTTCTTCCACATCCGTACTCATTTGAATTTTATTGCTTCATTCTTTGTGTCATTAGTGTAAAACCATTGATGATATTTGATATTTGGGACTTGTACCTCTACTTCATTCAAAGTGTTATACATAAAAATATAATATAATATAATAAAAATATATATAATATATGATTTAAGTTAATTTTCATTGCAGTTATGCCTGTGATGAAGCCAGGATAATGCTCAAAGAAAAAGTAAAAATACAATAAAAAATGGGCAGCACAGTGGATAGCACTCTCGCCTCTCAGCAAGAAGGTTCTGGGTTTGAATCCCAGTTGGAACAGGGCCTTTCTGAGTTTCTGAGTTTGCATGTTCTCCCCGTGTCTGTGTAGGTTTCCTCCTGGTACTCCGGTTTCCCCTACCACTAAAAACATGTGCAATAGTTCAGGGTGAATGAGTGTGTGTTTGTGAGTGTGAATGTGGGACAACGGATGCAAATTAGTGATGTGATCATGAACATGTACTGTCCCAACCAAATAAACAATAAATAAATAAATAAATGACAAGCAACATTCACTTAAATTGTCACTGTGCAACACAAGACTTCCTTTTATTTTGCATGAGCAGATACATGAACAGTCAAAATGCACTCAAATGAAGACAAAGCCTTTCAAACTCTAATTAGATTATTTTTTATCATTTGCAGTGATCCTTGCATTTCAAGATCTCTAACACAGAGATAGCTTGACTTTGTGCCACAATATTGACGTTTTTGTTATACATCGTCTTGTGTCTGCGTTGAGTGGGTGAGGGGGGTTACTTCATCCAACCCTTTTTCAAAACTGGTTATTCTGGTATTTTGTTTTGTAAAATTTACAGTTTTACAGTTCATAAAATACACATCTTGATTGATGGATTTAATATAATTAATCACAATTATTTGCGATTTGCTAATGACGGCTACTAAAGTAGCTATTTTGATTCAATTGCGACTAATCATGCAGCCCTAGTCAAGTGTACGTTCATTGTGGTTTAAGTAGTGACAAATAGCATGACAACATTTTGCGTATGTAGTCTTAAGTATGTACTGTGACAATCTATAACATCCCATTCCTATTTCATTGACACATTTTCCTGTTGCAGACTACAGGACCGGACCATGTTTCACTCAAGTCAACAATCAGATGTGTCAGGGGCAGCTGAGTGGCATCGTCTGCACCAAAACGCTGTGCTGTGCCACCATTGGTCGAGCCTGGGGTCATCCGTGTGAGCAGTGTCCCGCTCAGCCTCACCCCTGCAGGAGAGGCTTCATACCCAACATCCGCACTGGAGCATGCCAAGGTCTGTTCTATCGACTCTCAGTCAACAACTTAAGTATTACTTTAGCCATCATCATGTCAGCTGCAGCCACTTCCCACAACATCCTGCAGCTTGTACTGACACCACTGGGCATGCTTATATGAAAACACAGGACACAATCTCCCAGCAATAACAACAAGTGTAACAATTTTGCCACTCCATGTGGTCTCTTCATTTGAATAAGTAGTTAGACTCTTCTTATGAAATCTTTTACATTGCTGCTACTGGTGAGTGAGCTGAAAGTCATAACGGATTCTCCACAGCACGAAAGTCATGGTTTCGATTCTGTTCTGTTTGTTGTTTTTATGTTTTATCCTTGTGTTTTAGTGTTTTTCCTCCAGGCGCTCCAGTTTACCCCATTACTTAATACATGTTCCATAAAAAAATCCTCAAGCGAAGGTAGTCCAGTGCATTTGATCCAGTACTCCTGGGTAAATTTCAGAGGATATTTGCGTATGGGCACATAAAGTATGCCTAAACCTAACCTTTAAACGTTTTATACATCAAGCAATAGAACATAAGGCAAATGTTGAGGTGAAGTACCCATATTATTCCAGCGTGGATTACCCCCATGATCGACATGCCAAAGAGATGAATGAATTTATAATGAAACGGAAAATGATTGATAGAGCAGACATATATGATTTATATCCTTACCAATATCAATGACATTGAAAATCATTCAGTCTTCAGAAATAAAACTTATCATGGTTTATATCTAATAACTTTTTTATTTTGCTATTTGACATGTGCGGTAGGGACGTCCTATTTGCCATTTCGACTTGCTTAGAAGTTTTACTGCTGCATTTCACTGTCTAGAATAGTTTTCACTTTTCCTCTGTGTCTTTTCCTAACTGTAAGACATTGTTTTTTCCTCTTTCCTTTTTCTCTCAGAGAGTAAAGCTATCTTAGAGCTGGAGAGCCTCAAGCACTGTCTCACTGGCAGCAGTACAAAGCACACATGACCATGAATCCAAATGTAGGGGATTGCTGCCCGGGCCTCACATCAGGAAGCCGGCTGCACCACGCTCTCCCTCAATCTCATTCACTGCTTATTTTCAGCTCTAACCTTTGGCATAGAGAGTTTAATGTGACTTCAACATTGTTCTAAGGAAGCTGTCATTCCAAAAACAGATATCGGAATGTAAAAAAATAAATCTGAAGTTTACAATCAACCATGACTCATAAGCAGTTGCAGGAATATGGATTGTAGTTTATTTAATTTCCATCTTGAGAATGTGGTAACAGATTCAAAGCAATTTGCCAGCACTTTAGTCAGAGATGAATGGACGTCATTTGAGTTTTATTTGAATAACTTTCTCTCTGACAGATGTGGATGAGTGCCAGGCTGTCCCGGGGCTGTGTGCTGGAGGGAACTGCATCAACACTGTGGGCTCGTACGAGTGCAAATGTCCCGCTGGCCACCGACAGAGCGAAACCAGCCACAAGTGTGAAGGTGAGTCACGTCTGACCACAGAATATTAGGCCAAGCGGCAATTAGTTCGTTTTAGGGATAATGACATCAATTTGAAGTAGTTCATGGATAAAAAGTAGATTAGGGTTGTGACTTGTTACAGCCAATTGAATTTTGACTTTAGCTCTGAGGGCTGTTAGTCTGCAGCATTATCAAGGCAAAATGACTGCTGTGGACGCTGAACAATGTTTCTGGGGTTCAGATGTGTACTGTACTTTCATTATTGAATAGGATAGAAGTTATGTCGGCAGCTGTGGCTGCAGTTGTAGTTTATCATGTGTGGAGTGAAAGAATAATGTGAAGTGTCTTTTAGTGTTAAAAAAGCATTATTGTATTCATCCATCTAATAACTGCAGCCTCAAAACAAATGTGACTCCTCCTGATGTTGAGGAGTAGCAGCTAATATGTGCCTTTGTCTCCTGAGGACACAATGACAGTTTGTACCTCACTTTGGCACATGATGTCCCCACAGGTCTCCCATCACTGTACTAACCAGGCCCTCCCTGATTAGCTACTGAGATCTGAGGAGATGGAGGTCACATGCAGGAGTGGCCACAACATGCACATTTATTATGATATGTTTATTTATGCACTATTGGGACCTTCAGAACATCCTTGAGACTCTATAAAAATGACAACCCTAAACAGAGTAGAACAGACTCCCATTATAATGTGTTGATGTGTTGGAATTTTAACAATGCCCTGGCCAAACAGTGTAAAAGTTACACAGGCAGAAGTTGTGTCTTTTGGCTCAAAGCCGATGTTTTCCTGGTCTTTAGGGAGCATTACAGAAAGCTTTTAAACTGTTTCAGCCTCATCGTGGCTGCTCTTCTGTGCAAAGGGAGACGTACATTGTAGCTCACCAGGATTCTTTGACACATGGATCTAACAACCTTCATTCAATGCCACAAAGGACAAAGTAGAGTAATTATTATTATTATTATTGTGTATTTTACTAAAAGAATTTTGGGGAAATAGCTGATCGACTAAATAATATCTCATAACTCATTACAAACTAAACATACCAGCTCCCTCACTAGTGTTGAATGTGACACCAGTGATTTATGTTAAAGTCATTCAAGCAGGAAATTCATTGAATGACTTCACCAAAGTCACTCTATTTAGTGGAGACACTCTCAGTTGTGGTTTGGATAAATGCCCCTGGAGTTACGGTAAAGCTAGCTCCTCAAGAATGTCCCATTTTGTTGTAAAACTAAAAATAAGGCAGAATATACGTAAAGCATGTGTTGCCACTTTGAGTCATCAAAGCATCACAAAGACAGATTACAGTGAAATTGAGAACTGAGAGCAGACTATGATTCAGACTCAGGAGAAATACTCAATGGTGTATTTTCATTGTGTTATTCATCAATTCTGTTATTCATAAATTAGGAATTTAATTGATCTATCACATTTGTCAAACTCAGACAGACAGAACAGGATTGAAGTCACTTGCATTTTGCAGTGCAAAATGTAACTGTTCTAATCTTTGTATCGCAAGATTGTAAGCACTAAATGACTTGCTATCATTTGTTGACATCTCGTCTCCATCCGTGACTGACGCAGAGTGAGAGCAGAATAGGTCAGTGTTTATAAAGGCAAAAGACTGGAAACCTGAATCTGACAAACAAAGCTGCAGTGTAGCTCATTTAGGTTCGTTTTACAAAAATATCATTTAGTTAATCCACATTCAACCACTGGAGTTCTGGATTCCAACTAGTTTTATGAGCTTCTCCTTCAGGATCAGGTTAACAGTCTTGCCCTGCCCCCGCCTTTCCTCTCTTCCTTCTCCTTAGTTGCCCTCTTTAAGTACAGTGTTTTGGCTGAAAAGCAGTTGCTATTGCTTCACACAAAAGGCTTATGGCACATTTGAGACTTTCTCATGAGAGCGTAAACCTCACAAAATCTCTCCCTCCAGCTACAGATAGACAAAAGAGTTTAGAACTAGGGGAAAATATTTTTTTTCATTAGGTAAAATATTTATTTTTTATTTAGTAATACGGATTTTTAAATTTAATGCATTGCAGATTTGCAATAACTTCATTTCTTATTTCCTACTACTCCACATCCATATTTTTGACCCTTTTTACTAACTGCTGGAGTTTTCCACCTGCTCACCAGGGGGCAGAGCTGTCTCACTTCCAAAACGTCAGCCTCCTTAAAGGAATAGGCCACCGTTTTTACATACTGACATATGTCCTTACCTTACCTTAGACTAGTTGATATGTACCTGTCTGGTCTTTGTTCGTGCGCTCTGTCATGCAAACGGAGCACAAACGCAGCCTCTTCCACATACTGTATAGTAACGAAATTAGCTCCCTTTAGAAGTTTCCAAACTTTTCCACGTTTTCTCTATTTAAATACAGTTACGTGACGTATTACACTACCTAGTATAGTAACACAGAAATGTAACATGTCCATTTTCTCAGCGGATAAAAAGGGGTACTATATTGTGAGGCGGAATAATACGAGGAGCACTACGTCCGCGCACTGACTCCCACTCTCTTCTCTCCCGCTCACACTGCTTCTATTGACGGAAGTGAGCGGGAGAGAAGTCTTTAGGAGTTAGTGCGCGGACGAAGTGCTCCTCGTATTATTACGCCTCACAATATAGTACCCCCGTCACGTAACTGTATTTAAATAGGGAACACGTGGAAGAGTTTGGTAGCTTCTAACGGGATCTGATTTGTTACTATACAGAATGTGGAAGAGGCTGCGTTTGTGCTCCGTTTGCATGACAGAGGGCAAGGACAAAGATCACACAGGTACATATCAACTAGTCTAAGGTAAGGTAAGAACATATGTCAGTATGTAAAAACGGTGGCCTATTCCTTTAAGGTTTCACAGAAACTGATTTTCATTCATTCATTCATTCATATTAACGAATTAATATATAGACAGTCCATGCCAATTAGTATATCTCCTCTGGGTTTTTCCCCGGGTCAGCTCTATCTACCACAGCGGGGCAATGTTGCAAATCTGCAACATCCCAGAATGCATTGCCTGTGTCATTTTGTAATAAAACTTCTGAATACTGTTATTCATAAATTAGGAATTGAATTGATCTACCACGTTTGTCAAACTCAGATAGATAAAGATAAAGATATGTTATTAAAGTCAAAAATAGAAAACAATGTATATACACCAATTATATATACACACAAACACACATATATATATATATATATATATAAATATATAAAAAATAAAATTGTCCACTCACCTTTGGCCCTCCGCGGGCGGTTATCCCTCTCTAAGCTCGGGTCCTCTACCAGAGGCCTGGGAGCTTGAGGGTTCTGCGCAGTATCTTTGCTGTTCCTAGCACTGCACATTTCTGGACCGAGATGTCCTAGGTTGTTCCAGGGATCCGCTGTAACCACTCTTCTAGCTTCGGGGTCACTGCCCCGAGTGCACCGATCACCACGGGCACTACTGTCACCTTTACCCTCCAGGCCATACATATATATATATGTATATATATATATATATATATATATATATATATATATATATATATATATATGGCTGGTGTCCCTGAGAGAGGAGCACAGCCACCTCCCAGAACAGAACTCAGTTACCATCACAGAGGCAGACATCCGAGAAAGAGTCTCAGGTATGAAAAACTGGACAGCACCTGGCCCTGATATGGTCCATGCCTACTGGCTAAGGACACTCACATCACTCCATGAGCGCCTAGCAGCACAAATGAACCAGCTGCTGAGAGATGGGACTCACCCAGAATGGCTAACCGAAGGGCGAACGGTCCTGATCATGAAGGACCCTGTCAAGGGTGCAGTCCCCTCCAACTACCGGCCAATAACCTGTCTCTCCACAACATGGAAGCTCATGTCAGGCATCATTGCGGCTAAGATAAGTGGGCATATGGAACAATTCATGAGCACAGCACAGAAGGGCATTGGTAGGGACACCAGAGGAGCCAAACACCAGCTCCTGGTTGACAGAACAGTCGCCCAAGACTGCCGGTCACGACACACCAACCTGTGCACAGCCTGGATTGATTACCAGAAAGCCTACGACTCAATGCCACACACATGGATCATGGAATGCTTGAAGTTGTACAATATCAACAGGGCTCTAAGGGACTTCGTTGCAAACTCGATGGGAATGTGGAAGACTACCCTTGAGGCAAATGGCAAGCCGCTCGCACAAGTGACCATCAAATGTGGTATCTACCAAGGAGATGCTCTGTCCCCACTACTGTTCTGCATAGGCCTCAACCCTCTAAGCCAAGTAATTGACCAGACTGGCTATGGATACCGCCTCAGGAACGGAGCAAAGATCAGTCACCTCCTCTACATGGATGACATCAAGCTGTACGCCAAGAGCGAGAGAGACATCGACTCTCTGATCCAAACAACCAGGATCTACAGCCATGACATCGGGATGTCATTCGGGCTCGAGAAATGTAGCAGGATGGTGACTCGGAGAGGCAAGGTAGTCCACACAGAAGGGATCTCACTCCCAGAGGGAACAATAGCAGACGTTGAGGACAGTTACAAGTATCTCGGTATACCACAGGCAAATGGCAACCTCGAACAGGTGACGAGGAAAGCGGCAACTGCCAAATACCTCCAGCGAGTAAGGCAGGTCCTAAGAAGCCGGCTCAATGGCAAGAACAAGGCCCGGGCAATTAACAGCTACGCCCTGCCAGTGATCAGATACCCTGCAGGAATAATCAGGTGGCCAAAGGAAGAGATTCAGACCACGGATGTTAAAACTCGAAAGCTCCTTACCATGCATGGCGGGTTCCATCCCAAATCCAGCACCCTGAGACTGTACGTAAGCCGTAAAGAAGGAGGCCGAGGACTAGTGAGTGTGAGAGCCACTGTCCAGGACGAAACATCCAAACTCCATAACTACATCATGGAGAAGGCCAAAACGGATGACGTACTCAGTGAATGTCTCAGGCAGTGGCGAGATGAGGAGGTGCTGGAGGAGAGCCCATCATGGGAGAACAAGCCCCTACACGGCATGTACCACCGGAGCATAACAGAAGTGGCTGATCTCAAGAAGTCCTACCAATGGCTAGAAAGGGCTGGCCTACAGGACAGCACAGAGGCACTCATCATGGCTGCACAGGAACAGGCACTGAGCACCAGAGCGATAGAGGCCCAGATATACCACACCAGACAAGACCCAAGGTGTCGGTTGTGCAAAGAGGCACCTGAGACGATCCAACACATAACTGCAGGGTGCAAGATGCTGGCAGGGAAGGCCTACATGGAACGCCATAACCAAGTGGCTGGCATAGTGTACAGAAACATCTGTGGAGAGTATGGGCTGGAAACCCCAAGGTCTAAGTGGGAAACTCCTCCAAAGGTGGTGGAAAATGAGCGTGCGAAGATCCTGTGGGACTTCCAGATACAGACCGACCGAATGGTAATGGCAAACCAACCTGACATCGTGGTGGTAGACAAAGGGCAGAGGACAGCCGTGGTGGTGGACGTGGCAATTCCAAGCGATGGTAACATCCAGAAAAAAGAACATGAAAAGCTTGAGAAATACCAAGGTCTCAGAGAGGAGCTGGAGAGGGCCTGGAGGGTAAAGGTGACAGTAGTGCCCGTGGTGATCGGTGCACTCGGGGCAGTGACCCCGAAGCTAGATGAGTGGTTACAGCGGATCCCCGGAACAACCTCGGACATCTCGGTCCAGAAATGTGCAGTGCTAGGAACAGCAAAGATACTGCGCAGAACCCTCAAGCTCCCTGGCCTCTGGTAGAGGACCCGAGCTTAGAGAGGGATAACCGCCCGCGGAGGGCCAAAGGTGAGTGGACAATTTTTTTTTTTTTTAATATATATATATATATATATATACATTTCTTCTGATATTTTCCCTTTTTCTTGACACCTCAATAGTGTTGTATTTTTGTTAAAATGTAGCAGATTGTTAGGCCAAAAGCTTTTTATTTTTCTTTGTATCGTATTGTTTAGAAATATATCGAATCGAAATGCGTGTTGTATCCTGCCCTATTTAGAACATTAAGAGAAATTTCCCTAATTGTATGCAAAATATTTCTTATACATTTCAAGAAGGTGTCGTCTTTAATCAAATCTTTAAAATGTGTGATGGACATGGCTGATTTACTTTTAAAGGTTTGATAGTGAATGAACAAGTCTCCGTCAGCACTGAGAGCTGTAATTACGCCCCACAGTGGAACAGTAATGCCAAATAAAGGGTGACACATCATAAACCCCATTACCTTTTGGAGCTGGTCTTTGGATAAGCCTCGTCATGGAGAAAAGGGGCCCCAATAATGCATTTAAGTGGCGTCATAAAGTGTGCCACACAGCCAAACGCTATGTCTAAGTAACAGCATGAGGCTCCCACCAGCCTGGATACTGCCCAGATAACTGTCAAAGACTGCTTATGCTAGAGAAATGTTTGACTTTATTGGGGATTTCAGCCATTACTGAGGCAGAGCGGGGAGATAGGACATTAGATTTTAGTTTACAGATGTTGCGAAAGCTAGTTTTAGTTACAAATCGAGACTGATCCTCTGCGTACAGAGAAAAGATGTTCATTGTGTGCTTGAAAACAATTGGATTTGTGTTGTGTTTGATATTAGAGTATAATGCATCGACGCCCAATGATGCGTCACAGCATTATTCATTCACTATAGCCACAGCTGTCCTGGGGCAGACTGAATGAAGCGAGGCAACTAATATGTGCCAATGTGGGTGAAGTGTCTTGCCTAAGGACACAATAACAGTTTGGAATTTTACAACCGCCTCATGTGGCACCTGGTCTTTCCAGAGTTCTCCCATCACAGTGCTAACTTGACCCTGCCCTGCTTAACTTCTGATCCAGAGTTCACATACAGGTGGTGCCACTATATTATAATATAACCCATAATTGTAAATAGGTGTTTGTTCTTTTTAAGTTGATGCATATTTTTAAATCTTTAGCCATGTTACAATAAAAGTATGGACGTCATTGGTCTTAAACTTTATCATGTGACGAGTCCTGTGTACGTCACTGGCCCTATCAATGTTTCATCCAATAGAGGTTGTTCTTGTGTGTCAGGTGACTAGTTCAGTGGATGTCATTTGTCTATTTCAACACCCGTTTATTCAATGTTTTTTACATTGCCCTGAAGAAGGCCCTGCGTGGCCGAAACGCGTTGGTCCCTTCTGCATTAAAGGACTTTTATCAGAGTGCCTCGGATTTCACCCTGTCTTTATTTTTCCAATTCAAAAGGGTATTTTTCGTTTTACAATAAAAGTTTGTTTGAATAGTCTCAGAAAACATTTGAAAGAAAGATCCCCTCAGACCTCTGAAGCTAAGTAGGGCAGGGCCTGGTTAGTACTGTCATGGGAGACCTCTAGGAACTTAGGTTCAGATACAGAATCAGAAAACTTTATTGATCCCAAAGGGCAATTCATTTGCAGCATAATCTCAAAGCAGAACACACGGACTCTACACAAACACACAGTGAGTTAGGCCTCACAGCTCACGCAGCAGCAGGTTACAATAGATTCCAAAACGTTAAACTTGAGAAGGTGACACACCATTCACTCAGATAAAAGTTCATAAAACACCAGACACTCTCTGCTCGAGGTAACTACGCCGGTCGCACACTGCGAAGCGTCCCCGTATGTAAAACGCAGAAATTCAAGGGCAATATCCACTTGATAATAGATTTCACTTTGAGTGCAATGAGTCTGTCATACATTAGTATAACAGTGTAACTGCATATAATGTCTAGATTCAAGTTGACTCAAATGTTTTGTTATTACCGGCTATGTTATGTACTCTATTAAACCGAATGCACAGATACCAGATGTATCGTAATGTGCCGATGCATCTGAAAACGTGGTATTTACAACTTTGCATTGCAGATATTGACGAGTGCAGCAGCATCCCCGGAGTGTGCGATGGAGGGGAGTGCACAAACACAGCTGGAAGCTACGTGTGCACCTGTCCGCGAGGCTACATCACCAGCACAGACGGCTCCAGATGTGTCGGTAAGCGCCCGGACACCATCCCATCACAATCATTAGCGCGTTTCCTCCGCCGCCGGCCAACCACACAGCATACATCTGGAGAGCAACAAATTCTCATTCATCGTGGCTTCCTCTTGAGTTATGTTCGAATGAGTCAAGCTGCCTGTGGTCACCATGTGCAACAAACAAAACTGTCCTAGGACTTGACAACTTTAATCTGCATATATCAAACACTTCCAGGTGCCTATGACCAGTCCACACGCAAATACTTCCAGGTGATATATTTTATAGTAGCCACCTTGGATCTGTTCATTTGAATCAATTTGAAACAATTACTACAACACCAACTTTTTATAAACAGTGGCGCAGTCTTGGCTTAGCTCAGATATAGTCACTGTTTTGATACTCCACATGTTGAGAATTGGACTTTGAAATAAGTGTGACCATCTGCATGTGATGTGTAATGAGTGAAAATCCAATCAAGTGCTATAACAAACAAAAACATTCAAGTTTGGGAACCGAACTTTTTCGTTTCATAATAATGCATGTTGTTTATCCCAGCAGAAAGAGGGATATTTTAAAAGTAAGATGTTGTGAACAAATCAGACCACAACTTGCTGTCTGTGTCTTATTAGAAAACATGTTGACTTAAATTCAATTCATAATAATTCCCTTTTGCCAAACTGACCCTCTTTATACTTTGAAAGCTGATGCTCTTGTGTTGGTGGTGAGAAAGTGTGATTTAAAACTTGTGTTTTTATGTACTCATGCAATTGTCAACCACAATAGAGTTCCTGTGCTTTGGAAAATAAGCAAATGGGATAAAAATACCTGAAATGGACTTCAGAGTTTGTCATTGCAAAAAACACATCATAACACGTCAAAGTCAACCGTAACAGCTGCACATTGTACACAAACAGCCGATCGTGAGACCTTAGGTAGACTGTGTATTAGCATTTCATGTGGTCGCTTGTTTAGCTTTGAGTCACACACATGGAGTTGCTTACGAGGAAGCACAGAGCAAGGGCAGGCAAGACAAAAACAAAAGATGAACCTAAGGTTATCCCAAATGTACACCCTTGAGAAAGACATGAGTGTCTTTTCTGCTACCACAAACGTATTGATTTTGAAGGGTAAAATGTTTAAGACATTTTGAACCTGGGTGAGTTTCCTCTGGGCACCTAACTGAAGCCCTGTGCTTGCATTGGAAGAATGGGTCATAGGCAGAGAAGAGAGTTTACGGACAATATAATGTACCTTGAAAGCTGGAGTACCTACTTTTTTCACAAGTAGATGTTGTTTTTTGTGAACAAAATGTACCACAACAGGCTGTCTGTATCTACTGGTATTAAGAAACCATTTTATCGTGTTATTGGCCAAAAATACATGCATTTGAAAACTAAGAACAAGTTTTGCAGAGCTTTTAGCTACCTCAGTTATCTGGATTGTTATTACGTCGTTATCTTTGTGGTTTCAAAGTTAGGTACTTCAGCTGAAACTTTTCCAGTAGGGTCTGAAACTTTTGTTTTATAACTAGTATGTTATGATACATTATTTAATTTCTAATCACATGACTTTTAGCATAAGCTTGAGAACATTCAATGTCATACTGTTGAACAATCCATGCAACACATCATTTAGATAAAAGTGAACCATTCACAAGAAGTGACAAAGACAATATTTGATCATTTGCGGCCAATATACTGTATCTCTTACAAAGATAGTTTTAGGGACAGATGACAGACTGACCTCACCTTCATGAACACATGAGTTGAGTGAAAGGAGTGTGGATTTACTCTCTCCCAGGTAAAATATATGGTGATACACCAACTTTTATATTCCACATAAATCTTTCTATATTTGCCTTAAATTAATCTTAAGGCACTTAAGATTACTATGCTTGTCTTTTTTCATCAAACATAACTAAGATACTCTGTAGCTTGGCCTCCACTAAAACTGGACTCTTTCCATTGAGTCTCTTGTCACATCTGGTTCACTTGTGCATTTTTGTGCATCATCGTTTCTGTCATTTCCTCTTAGCCATAGTTTTTGTTCGTATGACATCTGGATCTTCCCTCTTCACTCCGTCAAATGTGGTTCCAAAGTTGGTCAGAAAATGGAAAATTTTGCTGTCTTATCTCATGTCCCATTTTGCAAAGGGAAGGTCATGCACAACCGGAATAGCACAGGTACCTTAGGAGTTTGGAGTGCTGCTGGTGTGAATGTTGCTCAGTTGTTGAAAGAGGGGGAGGTTGTCGCAGTAATAAGAGTGTAATGCCTCGTCACACTGTGAAACTCTGACCTGTCCAGTGAGCCAGTTTGTAAAAACACCTACCCAAATGAAAGCATATGCTGCGAAACTGGAGCAACTCTCGCACCCGAGCCCACGTCTGGATCTAATTTAAGTCATCATTACTCTCATCAGCAGCCACCCCCCTCCCCACACCCTCCTCTGCTCCCCATGCCTCCAGCCTGGCGTACTCCTATGGGATGTATTCGGGCTGCAATCCCTGTGTTATTTGTGCGTTGAAAAGGCTTATGTGCATTTCGTACAGTATTTGTTCCCAGACGCAGTGAAACCCCTTGTGTTGCATCTAATTGGCAGGAATTGCACCAGATGGAAATGATTAATTCCAGACTGCTGGCTCATTAGTAAGATAATCGACTTGCACCGCCTTCAGCCCAATTCATTAACTTTTTTAATACAAATGTAAAATTTGAGGGCTTCAGCTATAGCCCACTCCTCCTCCTCCGCCCATAGACTCCGTGCTCAAACCACCCCCGCGCCTGCCTCTGTGACCCCGGCCCAGCAAACTGGAACAAACAAGGCCCCTTTTGGAGACCTGCAGATGCTTACAGTGATCCCAGACCCCATGTAACCTTTCTCTCTGACAGCCCATAAAGCAGCTTGCCCTGTGTTAGCGGTCATCTTTTAAGACACACAGGGGGCCAGCACCTTTACACATACGGCCATTTCCTATGAGAACACTTGTTTCCTCCACATGGTGCTACAGTATATTTTACACTGCATTATAGAGTGCAGCACAGGAGAAGAGGCTCCACACAGGCTATTATATGTAAAACAAGGCCCTCTCTTTGTGCTAAGACTCCCCTTTAAAGTAGTTATAGCGGTTAGAGATTATCTGAGTGGTTAACTCTGCAGGCTGGATGATGCTACTTCTGGATTCTGAATTTCACTGTCCAGTTGATACATGTATACTTTTGATTGAATTTGACTACCCAGCACACAAAACATGTGATACCAACATAACTGGTAGAAGCCTTCCATCAACAGAATCAGTTTCTTTGTTTGAGCACAATCCACACTTTGTGCAGCCTCCATACACTGAGATGTGGTTGGATCAACTATGAATCTAACTTTTGATAATGGGCCATTTGTCAGCTATTCTGTGGAACACTTCGATTCATGAAATGGAGTATTATCCTATAGCACGTATCAAAATAAAAACTTTGATTGTCTATAAAGATATTGTGTTTCTTTCCACCTTCTACAATATATTTTCTACATCTGATATAATTTTTATATCTAGAACTCAAATGATGAAGTAAAAAGTTGATAATGCTGTTTCAACTACAGTTGAACCTGATGAAATCTCACACAACAAAGGGACAAAGTTAATCTTTTACTTGTTACATTGTACAAGGAGAATGTCTTGACAGAGGCAAGGCACAGACCCCAGCCTCTCTCAGGACAAGTCTGAAGATTCACAGATGACAAGCCCCTTTTTGTAGAGCATACGAAGACACACCTTCGTATGCAGATGGGAAAGGAAGAAACCAACACAACAAAAGACACTTAAGACATTAGCATCCTCAAAACCTGCTTCCTCCTGGCATCTGCATACAACCCCCAAGCACTCTGAAGTCAACAGTGGATTACAATACAGACAGTATAGAATTCAGCCACAGATGATTTAGCAAAATGATAACTAAGTTACATTCCAATATCATATTCCCTCCTTTTTATCCTTTTGATAAATCAAACAATCTATGTTTAAACATGGAGAACTGAAAATGAAAAAACACACATCCAAACTGAAAAAGAAAAAAATGTTCATAGTATAATTTCACATTGTTGTTCCATAAACAATTCCCCCTATTGAGACATACATGGCTCAAAATTGAACAATGTATTAACTTGAAATGTATTAACTTTGGTTATCAAATTCAACAACACGCACACGCCCAAAAGCCCAAAAACCCAAAGTCCATTTTCACAGTCCATAGACAGTCCATTTGACACTTCCTCTCGACCCCTCCTCATGTTTGGTTATGACCAGAAATGTCCACTCTGTTCCTGTTTCAAAACTCTTCTCTGCCTGCGTTTCCGACGCAAGACTAGCAGCAAGCCGTTCTCCAACAGCGACACAAAGCTGAACTTTCAAGTCGCAAATGTACCAAGATGTCACCTTCAATTCTCACGTCCATTTAACTTGAACAAACGGCCAGAGCCCTCCGTGGGCCTGCGCGCTTTGATCCTTGCATATCGGCCCGTGCGTATTCGTCAGCAACTTCCGGTGCAGGGGGGGTTTGTGTGGAGGGTCGTTTCGTAGGTGTCGATGGCTGCATGGAGATGGCGATGGGGTGGGTTTTCTGTCCCACAATGGAAAATAGGTGGATTTTGTTGCTTTGAAGCTTTGGCAGGGAAGTGGCATTTTTCTCAAAAACAAGAAGCACATTTGTTAATACATTTCAGAATCAAAACATAAGGTGAAGGGTAATTCTAAACCAAGAAAACTTTGACAAAGGAAAACGAAGAGGACACACAGAACAAAGGACACAGACAAACAAAGAAACACATGGCCAGAGGACAAAGGACCACATGGCCACCCAAAATGGCGGTCTATCTACTTTTTGCAATGACCAATTCCAAATTTTGAGTAATTTAAAGGTCTTTAAACATCCAATTTCAATGTAGCTTATTTAGATGTCTATAAATGTCCAATTTCAGTTTAGAAGTAATGTAGAAGTTCAGTCCGAAGTAATTCAATTCTAACACATTCATCATACAGGCGTTCTTTAATTCAAAATGAACCCCGTTCACTTTTAACTGCAGTAAAAAGTAGTCCCCGACTTACTCTTAATAATAACCCCGTTATTATACAGTCTATGATAGTCCCCGACTATCTAAAGATAAACCCCGTTCATCCCGGCCTCGACTGTCTGCAATATAGTCCCCGACTATTTAAAAAAGGATAATCCCCATTATCCCAGGCCTTTTTTAATTTGAATCCCCGACTCAAAAAGTAAAATACCCTTTTGAATGAAACCCCGTTCATTCGAGCTCTGTAAAAGTCCTTGACTAAAGGCATAACTCTGCGTTATCCTAAATGAACGTTGAAGAAGATGACAAAGTCTGGGATCGCGTCTTACATTCAGACAGAAGACATGTTTTATTGTCGATGGTAGAGACAGCACAAACAAAGCACACGATCACAGATACAATAGAATGCAAGTGTATTATACAGAGCGGAGGCATGGAGACCTCCAATCAGCAGCTGCCACGGTGTGCTTGTAGCTTGGCCTTCAGATAGACACAACAAGGGAAAAGTACTGGCTTCTGCACATTGATAGAATGATGAGTGTAACTTTAACAAAAGTTGCTTCAAAGTGTTATGAAATCTCACATTCCCCCCTCTGGTCATACATTCACGTGTGACCATCAGGATCAATAAACAGCAACATAACATCATAACTCAATACTTCAAAAACTCATAAACTCGGTACTTCACTCGGTACCTCAAAAAACTCAGAACTCGGAATACTTCAAAAACTCAGAAAACTCATAAAACATTTTCAGATCTTTCATAAAACTTGTCAACAATCTTCAGTAAAATACCAAACTTCATCAGTCGATGGTTCCAGATATTGCTTTGAAAACAGTCTCTCCCACTTCTCTGTGTTGATTTCTTCAGGCTGCATTTGTGTCGAGCCATGAATTCTTCTGTGACGTGTCTTTCAATCACACGTTTCAGCTTCAGTGTCCAGATTCAGAAATCAAATTCAGTCCAAATTATGTCCAAATTCAGAAATCCAATTGTTCCAAATCATGTCCAAATTGTGTAATCCAATTTTTCCAAATTATGTCCATGCAAAAGAGGACGATGGTCTTGTCCATGTCTCAGCAGCTCACAGCCTGAGTGGAATCAGGGGCTGTGCAGATTGTCCATGTGTGCTGGTCCAGATGCATGGTTTCTCTTGAGGTTTTTCAGTTTTGGCTTGAAAAAAAAAACACTTTTTGTGTAAAAAAAAGTAGTCTTCTGTTCTCTAGATGTTACAGACAAGGCCCGCATCCTTCCACCACCTGAAGAAGATGACAAAGTCTGGGATCGCGTCTTACATTCAGACAGAAGACATGTTTTATTGTCGATGGTAGAGACAGCACAAACAAAGCACACGATCACAGATACAATAGAATGCAAGTGTATTATACAGAGCGGAGGCATGGAGACCTCCAATCAGCAGCTGCCACGGTGTGCTTGTAGCTTGGCCTTCAGATAGACACAACAAGGGAAAAGTACTGGCTTCTGCACATTGATAGAATGATGAGTTTAACTTTAACAAAAGTTGCTTCAAAGTGTTATGAAATCTCACAACGTGTTCATGTGAACTTCACACTACTTCCTGGATTACTTTTGGACATAATTTGGTGTTTAGAAACTTGCCTTTTGTTGCAATTTCATCAGGAAAAACTGTAGTTCTCCCGTCAACTCCAACCCAGGGCTGTCCTGCCTCAAACCTGGAGTTCCAATGCAGTTCCAAATGCAGAAGGCCCTGTTGTTGCTCCTGGAAGTCCATGTTTGAGACCAGCTCAGCTCCTGTAAGAAGTGTTGGGATCCGGATTCGAAGGACCAAGTGATAATGCTGTTTCAACTACAGTTGAACCTGATGAAATCTCACACAACAAAGAGACAAAGTTAATCTTTTACTTGTTACATTGTACAAGGAGAATGTCTTGACAGAGGCAAGGCACAAACCCCAGCCTCTCTCAGGACAAGTCTGAAGATTCACAGATGACAAGCCCCTTTTGGTTGAGCAAGACACACCTTCGTATGCAGATGGGAAAGGAAGAAACCAACACAACAAAAGACACTTAAGACATTAGCATCCTCAAAACCTGCTTCCTCCTGGCATCTGCATACAACCCCCAAGCACTCTGAAGTCAACAGTGGATTACAATACAGACAGTATAGAATTCAGCCACAGATGATTTAGCAAAATGATAACTAAGTTACATTCCAATATCAAAAGTGTATGCAAAAAGTATGATTACCAGTATTAATGAGAAAAAGATATGTATAAGATTTGTTTTTTAAGTGTATGTATGCATAATCTTTGTTCTTTACTATTATTTGTTACTAATTGACAGATCAGCGCGTGGGCACCTGCTTCTCCGCTCTGGCAAACGGCCGCTGTGCTGCTGAGTTGACGGGGCAATACACAAAAATGCAGTGTTGCTGTGACACGGGACGCTGCTGGGCTTTGGGTGCCATTCCAGAGATGTGTCCCGTCCGCGGCTCTGGTGGGTAAAACAAACAGAAGAATGTCTGACGGAGCCAGTCTCCGTCTCTTCTCGATCAAAAGCATCTGTGAAAAATCCCCACAAAACAACATGCAATCCACTTTTGAACCATGATCCCTTTTGTTGCACTAAACACTCTGGCAGTAAATAAAGTCAGTGTTAATGGATGTGCCACATAAAAACTTCAAGAATGACATCATTTGGTTATGCTGTATGATTACATTATACAGAAACAGAAGTACATGTTGATATCAAAGACACAAAATCAAATGCAGCGATTGTCTCATACATACAAACAAACAGTTATTACTCTTACAAGCATGAAACAAATCATGTTTTCTAATAAGATGCAGACAGCATCTTATTTACTTAAAAATGCATTCTGCATTTTGACACAAAAGCTTTTACTTTTGTACTTCTACTTTAAAACTCATTCACCGCCATTGACGTATATAGACGTCAATCTATGGCTTGTCAAGGTTCTTGTGCATCCTGTGTCAACATTTCCGACCTATAAACGCTTTTTATTGTATACAAGTTGAATATTTTATGTGTACATAAGACAATCCTTTGAGTGTATTGTGTGTACATGTTTAATTTGTTTAAAAATAATTATACATTAAAAATACAATTCTAAGTATTGTTTCTGTTCTATGTCATAATAAGAAACTGTCATACATTGTAAAATATCAGTAAAAAAAAAAAAAATACTTTTCTGCTTGAAAATGTGTTTTTCACAAAAAGGCTGTTTTCTCCATATCTTGGTCAGGAAACAGCATTTTGTGTGAAATTTACCTATGTTTTACTCTCAATTGCTAAAAAACTAAAAGGGGTAGAAACTTACTTTTTTTAAATGAAGCTTTCATTTGGTATGTTTCATACTTGTGTCAACCAAGGGCTCACATTTATATGAGGTTTAGAAAAACACTAAAAATATCCAAAATCTCTGGCTCATATTTATATATGGCTGGAAGTGAATGAGTTAACGTTTACCAGAGAAGATTTTTTCTACTTTTACTTACTACTACTAGTGCTTTTGCCACCTCTGTACATTGCTATTAAAATGTGTACGTCATAATGAGATTGATGGGAGAGTCCCTGTTTGTCTTGTACAGATGAGTTCAGGCGCCTGTGCATTGTGGGCGTTCCTCAAGGCCACGGTCTCCCTCACGTCTATCCCAACGGACACTTCCCCAACGGCAACGGAAACGGCAACGGCTTCCACTATGGCTTCAAGTTCCCCAGCCTCCCCAACGGGAATGGCGGGAACGGTGGAGGGGGAGGCTTCGGAGGGAACGGAGGTGGATTTAATGGGAATGGAGGCAATGGAGGAGGTCTAAACCACCAGCAAATTGGTTAGTTTCTGCTCTCTAAGTGAATAATTTGACCACAAGTTGGAGTTTATTTTGTGGTTAAAACGAGTCTCCGTTCGCAGGCACTGTCTCTGTGAATGACACTGTGGACGTGTGCAAGCACTTTACAAACTTGTGTTTGAACGGGCGCTGTATCCCCAACCTGAACAGCTATCGGTGTGAATGTAACATGGGATACAAGCGGGACATACGCGGGGAGTGTATTGGTAAGACTAAGCAAATAAGTCAGTTTATCACATGTCAAATTAAATATTATTATCAAATGAAAGGGATTCTGAGTTCTTTTGAGGTTTCTGTTTGGCCTAACACTATAGCTTTAATTAATAATAAGACCATGGTAAAACCAGATAAAGTTTTTCAAAAAATGCTCAACGTTTCTCAATTGATATTTGCATGACTTGTTCTTTCTCCTAAACTACTAAAACTAAACTAAAGCAATGATCCAAGGACAGACTGCATATGTCTTTACTTCTATTCATTATATTGTCACAATCTAATATAATATGTTTTTAAAAGTGCTGTTTTTCCAGACCCTAGGCAGTAACTGAGGAGGGGCTAATACACAAAAAAGATTCTTTCTCAAATGGGTTTCTAATTTCATTTTTCCCCCCAAACTTACTATAATACAACTCGAGTTCAGATTGAGAAGACCGTGTATCTCATTCCATGCACTACACTGCCCCCTTCTGTCCTTTCACAGGATTTGTATACATTATTTTACATGGAAATATAATTATAAATTGCAGTTTGTTTTTTTTTATCTTAAAAACACCTTTGATTTCGTTGAAAGAGGTTTTTTTACTTCATATTTTGTTTTGTTGTTTACCAGATGTGGATGAATGTGTGAGCAATCCTTGTATCAACGGAGACTGTGCCAACACACCGGGGTCTTATCACTGCAAGTGCCATGAAGGATACCAGGGAACCCCCACTAAACAGGCCTGCATCGGTATGTCTGACTGCACCTGCGCAGGCCTTCAGCTCCGGCCCTTTTGCTATAATATGAACACAGCATTCATCTTAATTGATTCTTGAGTTTGGAGATGTTTATTTTGTAATGACCTAGGATTATTTGGCCTAAGGAGTATAAAGCAGTTATCTTAATTGTGTGTCTTGTTGCTCCTCTGGCTGTAGACATTGATGAATGCATTGTGAATGGGGTGATGTGTCGCAACGGCCGCTGTGTCAACACTGAGGGAAGTTTCCAGTGCATCTGCAACGCTGGCTTTGAGCTGACGCCTGACGGGAAGAACTGTATTGGTAATAAAATCAATAAAAACGAACAAAAACTCAAAAGAAAGTTGTTCAAGGCTTGACCTTAACAGCTGATTTGACCTCTTTCTCCAGATCATGACGAATGTGCGACCACAAACATGTGTCTCAACGGAATGTGCATCAATGAAGACGGAAGCTTTAAGTGCATTTGCAAACCAGGTTTTGCACTGGCACCGAATGGACGCTACTGTACTGGTAAGCTTGGCATTTAAATGGGGTTCAAATTATAAGAAAAATTGGGTTGCAGCTGGGGCGACAGTAGCTCAGTTGGTCGAGCATTGGCCTTAAGGCCAGAAGGTCGTGGGTTCAATCCCCACCTCTTCTCCATCAACTCCCACTGATGACTGCTGTCGTTGTGTCCTTGGGCAAGACACTTAACCCCACTTTGCCCAAAGCCCCCACTGAGAGATCAAGGCTATGCTCACACTCAGAGAGCAGCCGTCCTCCTGTGGACTCACCACCTGCAGAGGGTCAGTGAGGGGCTGGTGCTATGAGACTTGGGTGGCATCTCTGATTGCCACCCCCCTGACCCAGAAATGGATTAAAGGGTAGAAAATGGATGAATGGGTTGCAGCTACCTGAGAACTGTTGAATTATTTTTTTTAAACAAGATCATTAAAACACCCTTTAGATTTAGAGATAGACCAACATGCAGCCGAAGCCGTAATTTGTTCAAAATTTGACTGACCGATGACCGATTGTACAAGGCTGATTAGAAAATGCTGATTTATGAAAAAAAAGGGTTTTTGGCTGGTGTTCATTCTATTGTGTTAGTTAGTATTTAGGACCTTTTAGAGGTTATTATATAAGGCCTTGATGGATATCGCTGGGAATAGGCTCATTTTGAAGATAATTGTGGTTTACTGCATTAATGCTATGAACAATTGGACGGCCCATAGCTTTCTACAACTCAACACCTCAGAATCTGAAGTCCTCCTCATCAACCCACCACAATCAATCTCCCACATCCTAACCCACCTTGGCCCCCATCATCAAACATTACTCCATCTGCTCGTAACTTTGTTTCATCTTACACTCAAAGAAACCACACCAATCTTGTTTCTTTCATCCTTGCACCATCTATTAGAAACATTGTGATTGTAGTTCCATTTATTACAATTTGGTGACCCAGGTCTGTGAAAACTACTGTATGGATTGAAAAACACTTACTTAACCACTTATTTCAACATTCAGAGTATGTGTTTGCATTGACATGGTGATAAATATTATTCCTCACAGATATCGATGAGTGCCAGACTCCGGGCATCTGCATGAACGGCCGCTGTATAAATTCTGAGGGCTCGTTCCGCTGCGAGTGCCCGCCCGGCTTGGCCATTGACGTGGACGGCAGGGTGTGTGTGGACACTCACATGAGGACCACCTGCTACGGCGCCATTAAAATGGGAACCTGCTCTCGGCCTTTTCCTGGAGCCGTGACTAAATCTGAGTGCTGCTGTGCCAATCCTGAACACGGCTTTGGGGAACCGTGCAATCCCTGTCCTTCCAGAAACTCAGGTACAAACATTTATATTTGCAAACTTTTTTTGTAATGACAATGAGTAACATAATAATCCTTATATTTTTAGCCGAATTCCAAGCTGTATGTAGTAGTGGTATCGGCATAACAGCGGACGGCAGAGGTGAGTGGGTGTATTGAATTATAGAGAGTAATCTATTTTATGCTAAGATTAACATTCTGCCTTTTTAATAGATATAAATGAGTGTGCCCTGGACCCAGATATTTGTCAAAATGGAATCTGTGAGAATCTGAGAGGAAGTTATCGCTGCATCTGCAACATTGGTTATGAATCTGATACGAGCGGCAAAAACTGTGTCGGTAAGTTACAAAAGTTTTGTTTTGTGCAGCGTTTACAGTGACATTATATCCTATTTACAGGTGAAACTCTGAACCTTTTAATATCTTTCAGAAGTCCATTTACTTCTGTAATACTTCTGTTATTTTACTTCTATGTGTCATTAATATAGAGTATAATGTAATAATGTACGTAACGTAAGCCGTTCAAGTACAAAACGTTTGAGTCAATTTCATTCTAAACATTATATTCAAGTCTTTGAATGAAAGTCCATTTATTTCTGTAATTCAACTTACACTGTGACTGTACTAATGTCTGACAGACTCATTACACACAAAGTGAGACATATCAAGCATTTATTTATTATAATGTGTATAATTGCCTCATGCTGTAAAAACCCCAAATAAAACATTTGGAAATGAACTGTAAGCATAATGTTCGACCTTATAACTAACAAAGGCGCGCCATATGTCACTTTGCATGTAACGAGTCTATATCATATAATGCCTCACATTTCAAGGTGAATTACCGAAATAAATTAACTTTTAAACGTTAATGGTCATGAAAATAATTGCCTTGAGGGCAACATAGAATGATATTCTAGATTTTACATGTGTTTGTCATGTTTGAATACAATTATGACTCATAATCAAGCATAGAAATAAGCTTTGACCCCAGAATGTTTTTGATTCAGATATCAACGAGTGTCTGGTGAACCGGCTTCTGTGTGACAATGGCCTGTGCAGAAACACTCCTGGATCTTACACCTGCTCCTGTCCCAAAGGCTTCGTCTTCAAACCAGACTCTGAAACCTGCGAGGGTAAGTTCCCAAAATCATGGACAAATCCGTTCACACGCAGCTCTGTCTTGTGTCCATGTAGCCGTTACAAAATCCTTTGTACGAGATGTGGGCTTTTAAATTCAAAGTAAACCAAATTCTCAGTGAGAAAAATAAAATAAAAGTGCTCATCAGTGCCAGAGGTGGATGATGATTCTCAGCCCTGACCTTACACAGATATCAATGAGTGCGAGTCCAGCCCATGCATCAACGGAGTGTGTCGTAACGTGGCCGGGTCCTTCAACTGTGAGTGCTCTCATGGCAGCAAACTGGATTCCACCAACACCATCTGCGTGGGTAAGAATAGTGTCTTTATCTAATTTCATTTACTTTCTATTTTTGTAGCAATGTCTTTCCATTATATGTAGGATGAAATGTTGAAAGATGACTCTATGCTGGCCCTGTGGTAAACTATTCTATTCCACAAGAAACAAAAACACAATAACACAACAATGTTTTCTTAAATTTAGAACCACTTCAAGATCAAGTATTTCAGTACAAAAATAACTACTGAAGAATAACATGGAGAAACAAGCATGATGCCCTGAGCACCAAGGGTGGGAGAGAGGTGTAGGGTCTGAGAGTTAATGGGCCTGTGTGTTGTTTTAGGGAGTATGTGTTTTGTGTGCTTTGTGTTCTGTTGTATGCGTGAGAGGGGTTAGAGCCTCATACTCCTTTTCAAACTGTGAATTTCTATTTATTTTATGGTAATTGGTATAATGTTGTTTTTTGTTAAGATAAACAAATATGAATAATAATGATTTCTAACACATACAGACAGTATGAAGAGCACCTGCTGGCTAACTATTCAGGACAATCGTTGTGAAGTGAACATCAATGGTGCCACACTCAAGTCTGAGTGCTGTTCCACGCTGGGAGCTGCCTGGGGCAGCCCTTGTGAACCCTGCGAAATTGGTCAGTTTTCATGACACAATGAACAATTGTATTTTCACATTGATATCTTACTGTTACTTTTTCTTCTTCCAGACACTGCATGCTCTCGTGGATTTGCCCGCATGAAAGGTGTTGTTTGTGAAGGTAAGTGCATATTTGTTTGCGCAATAATAATGTAATAAAGTACATGTTTGACCTTGTGATCTAAATGCATTGCTCCTTTAGACATTAATGAGTGTGAGGTGTTCCCTGGCGTGTGCACAAATGGCCGCTGTGTGAACACTCAGGGATCGTTCCGCTGTGAGTGTACCGAGGGCCGCACCCTGGACGGGACTGGGCGCACCTGTGTGGGTAAGACACCTGCTAAATCACAAATATACATCAGAAGTTTAAGGGACTGGGTAAACATTATGTTATGTTCCAGACATGCGTTCGGAGCAGTGCTACATGAAGTGGCATGAGGATGAGTGTGGGGCCCCGCTGCCTGGAAGGTACCGCATCGACATGTGCTGCTGTTTAGTGGGCGCGGCCTGGGGCATCGACTGTGAGGAGTGTCCCAAAGAGGACACTCCTGCATTCAAAGCCATCTGCCCCAGAGGGCAGGGCTTCGCCAACAGAGGAGACATTCTGACAGGCAGATCTTTCTACAAAGGTATTCAACTTGGCCATGAAAAGAATTGTCATTACTGTCAAGTCATTGTTATCTCATATAATATGTGTGTGTTATCTCTTCTTCTATCTTCATCATCTAGACGTGAATGAGTGTAAGGTGTTTAATGGTATTTGCACCCATGGCACTTGCCGGAACACCATTGGAAGCTTTAAATGCCGCTGCAACAGTGGTTTTGCACTGACAGCCGAGGAAAGAAACTGCACCGGTACAGTGTAAAAAGCAGGCACCACATCAGACACATGAAAAAATCCCAAACGAATGTGACTTTTGTTTGTCAGACATTGACGAGTGCCGCATTTCCCCTGACCTCTGCGGCCATGGAACCTGTGTCAACACTCTTGGAAGTTTTGAGTGTGAATGTTTTGAGGGCTACGAGAGCGGATTCATGATGATGAAAAACTGCATGGGTGAGTCAGTCAGAAGTCTGAGGTACTTTTTCTATTGACAATTTTTCAGGTGTTTTCCTGACTCTCTCTGCTTTTCCTCTAGACATTGATGAATGTGAGAGGAACCCTCTTCTGTGTCGAGGAGGAGACTGCCTCAACACCGATGGAAGTTATGAGTGTGAATGTCCCAATGGATACACACTGAGCAGTGATGGCTCTGCCTGTGAAGGTCTGCCATATTCTATGTAACTCTACAATCCCATAGGCCAGAAACCCATTCAAATTTAATGACAATGGAAACCTCATTGTTTCAGATTTAAATGAATGTGAACTGAGTGAAAACTTGTGCCGAAATGGACAGTGTGTAAACATGCCAGGAACATACCAATGTTCATGCGAGACAGGTTACCAGGCCACACCTGACAGACAAAGCTGTGTTGGTAAATAAAGTTAATTCTGATTCAATTTAAGCATCTAAAAAAAACACAACATACTTTATGTCACCTATCATCTTATTTTATCATATTGTTTACAGATATCGATGAGTGCACGATTATGAACGGAGGGTGTGAAACACATTGTACAAACTCAGAAGGAAGTTATGAGTGCAGCTGCAGTGAAGGCTACGCGCTGATGCCTGACCTGAGGACGTGTGCCGGTAATAAACATACTGCTTACGTTAGCATCATGCTGTGGTCACCTGGACTGAATTGTTTGGTTTTGTGTTAGATATTGATGAGTGTGAAGAGTCTCCTGACATTTGCGATGGAGGCCAGTGCACCAACATCCCCGGTGAATATCGGTGTTTGTGTTATGACGGCTTCATGGCTTCAATGGACATGAGGACTTGTATCGGTAAGAAAGTATTTCCAGTTTACTGCTTGATGCACTCACCAGATTCTACAAATAAAAGGTTATTCTTTTAAACAGATGTGAATGAGTGTGACCTGAACCCAAACATCTGTCTCCATGGGGACTGCGAGAACACCAAAGGCTCTTTCATCTGCCATTGTCAGCTGGGATACTTTGTGAAGAAGGGATCCACCGGCTGCACAGGTATTGTGTTCACAGTACACTCTGTTCAAAGTATTTAATGCAATGTGACTGCATATTATGCACACTTATAATCTATATTATGCATTCCTGTATTTTTTTAAACCAAAGATCATGTCGGCTGTTACTATTCTCTAATGATGGCCATTGTTTTCAGAAGGAGCATGATATAATATGATTGTTTATGTATATATATGATGATATGAAATGTGATGATTTGAAATAAAATATGTGATGTTTTGCCATATTCATTATGCAACGCCCTATGAACAGACGTTGATGAATGTGAGGTTGGAGCCCATAACTGCGACATGCACGCTGCCTGCATCAATGTACCTGGAAGCTTTAAATGTCGCTGCAGAGACGGCTGGATCGGTGATGGGATCAAGTGTATTGGTGAGTGTGGCAAGTTAGTATTTTCTCTTTAGTTTGTGTCCCTTAGTTGCCCATGGATAACCTTTTATTGTATATAGACCAGGACGAGTGCTCTGCAGAGGACCACAACTGCAATATCAATGCAGACTGTCTGAACACACCTGGCTCCTACAGGTGCACGTGTAAAGAGGGCTTCAACGGAGATGGATTCTCGTGCTCAGGTAATTGATCTTTAAAAGCACTGTGCAATCCTCTTTTCTCCATGGTGAATATTGATTGTTTTTCTTTACTGTTTTAGACATGGATGAGTGTGCCGAAAATGTGAACTTGTGTGAAAATGGACAGTGCCTGAATGCCCCTGGCGGATACCGCTGTGAGTGTGAGATGGGCTTCACTCCGACAGAAGACAACAAAGCCTGTCAAGGTACTGCACATGCTCACTGTTTACACTCAGTGTAGTCTATTATGTTCATGTGCTGTCATGTTTGCTGTTTTTCACATCTCACAGATATTGACGAGTGTAACTTCCAGAACATCTGTGTGTTTGGGACATGTCAGAATCTCCCAGGAATGTTCCGCTGCGTCTGCGATGACGGCTATGAGCTGGATCGGAGTGGAGGAAACTGCACTGGTGAGCGTTAGACTTCTGTCATCGCAGCTTGCACATCGTCTGATCTGTCATCTCCAGGGCATTGTTGTAATTATTGTTGTTTTGTAACTTTCTTTGTCTGCAGACATCAATGAGTGTGCTGACCCGGTGAACTGCATAAATGGCCTTTGTGTGAACACGCCCGGTAACTACCTGTGTAACTGTCCTGCCGACTTTGAGCTGAACCCAACTGGAGTCGGCTGTGTGGGTAAGTTACTGCTCTAGAGAATATATATGGTTTGGACTTTATCATACAGTATAAGGTTTCATGTGTCCTAACCCTTGACAGACACTCGTGTTGGTAACTGCTTCCTGGACGTCTTGGCTCGAGGAGATGGGGGGATCTCCTGCAGTGCTGAGATTGGGGTGGGGGTGACTCGAGCTTCCTGCTGCTGCTCTTTGGGAGGAGCCTGGGGAAACCCCTGTGAACTGTGCCCTCCCTCCAACTCCAGTGAGTCTCCAGTACAGCTTCAATATTACAATCAACTCATTTACTATATTAAAAAAAAAACATAACTGTCTTTCTGCAGCTGAGTATAAGACGCTCTGTCCCGGTGGAGAGGGTTTCAGACCAAACCCCATCACTGTTATTCTTGAAGGTATTGATCTTGTTATTATTACTTGGCATACTTTATCAGTATCATAATGTGTTTTGACCCATGTAGATATTGATGAGTGCCAGGAGCTGCCTGGTCTGTGCCAGGGAGGAAACTGTGTGAATACGTTTGGCAGCTTTCAGTGCGAATGTCCTGCAGGCTACTACCTAAATGAAGAGACCCGTATCTGTGAAGGTACAATAAGTCCCTTAACACAATCTGAAATATATAGATAAAATATATACAGTATGGGCTCAGAATGTATTAACTCACTATATTTTTTGTATTGAATCTCTATATTGAATATTTACAGATATTGATGAATGTACAACTCACATTGGCATCTGTGGGCCTGGTACCTGCTACAACACATTAGGCAACTACACCTGTGTTTGCCCTCCAGAATACATGCAAGTAAATGGAGGAAACAACTGCATGGGTGAGTTGTGTCTCATTGATGTGGACAAAACCTAATATCAAATAAATCTGACTTTGATCTGTCTTTCTTCTTCAGACATGAGGAAGAGTGTTTGTTATCGTAACTTCAATGACACATGTGAGAATGAGCTGTCCTTTAACATGACCAAAAAGATGTGCTGCTGTGCCTATAATGTGGGGAAAGCCTGGAATAAACCCTGTGAAGCATGTCCTACGCCTGCTACCAGTATGTGCACGTCACAATCACATAACCACCAAATAAACAACAATGTTATCATTCTGACCATGTATACTGCTCCTGCCCTGATCAGATGAATACCAACTTCTATGTGGAAACCAGGCACCAGGCTTCATCATTGACATTCACACAGGAAAACCTATTGGTAAGCATTTAACAAGTTGTCATTATTACTTTCTTTTTCCTTTTTACAACTGTATTGTTTTGTGCAGATATCGATGAATGCAGGGAAATCCCTGGGATCTGTGCCAATGGTGTCTGTATCAACCAGATCGGCAGCTTCCGCTGTGAATGTCCAATGGGCTTCAGTTACAACAACATCCTGCTCATTTGTGAAGGTCAGAGACGATTCCTTTAATTAAAATAGAAACTTTACTTCCACTGGTGGAGTAAAATCAGAGTCAGTTTTACAAAGTGTCCACTCAGTGGAGCTAATGCTGCCATTTCCTCTGTGAGTTATGTCATTGTAAAGATCAGGGTTGTCTCTCCAGTTGGGAGCTGCTGCCTGTATCTTCAATCACTCTGAAAGTGTTAGTTACTGTCCTCACAGTAGCACAGCCAAAATGGCTACGTTATGTTTTGCCTCCCACTGGTCACAAGCTGACGGCCCACTCTCAGCTGACAGTTTTAGAGCCTGTGATTGATTCTCTTTGTTTCCCTCTTTTTCCTCCTGTGCAGATATTGACGAGTGTAACAGCGGGGACAACCTGTGCCAGCGAAACGCCAACTGTATCAACATACCAGGCAGCTACCGCTGTGAATGCTCTCCAGGATTCAAACTTTCTCCAAGCGGCGCTTGTGTTGGTAAGTTAATTTAGCCTGATAGGCGCAAATGGGGATTCTCTACATTGTTTTACACAATCTACAATGTTTTACAATAATTCTCAAATACTTTTCAGATCGTAATGAATGCCAGGAAATCCCTAATGTCTGCAGCCATGGAGAGTGCATCGACACTCAGGGAAGCTACCGCTGCCTTTGCCACAATGGTTTCAAGGCCACTCTGGACCAAACCATGTGCATGGGTGAGACTCCCTCTGCACCTGCTCCATGATCCTGCACATATCTGTCACATTTGTTGAATTTACTCTTGTTGTTTTAGACATTGATGAGTGTGACAGACAGCCGTGTGGCAATGGCACCTGTAAAAACACGGTGGGATCCTACAACTGTTTGTGTTTCCCTGGCTTCGAGCTCACACACAACAATGACTGCATGGGTACGCATCAATAACTCCTAACAAAGGTCAACAATATTTAGAGTGTCTGGAAAAGGTCAACGCCTGCTCAAGAGATATAACACTGTTACAATGGCACGGAAATTAATGTTGCCCTTTCTCTAGAATATCAAACCAAATCAAGGTAGATTTATATATGTTGCATATCTTACATTTGGGAATAAAAAAAATAATGAATGAGAATCCAGTCAAATTCTGAAAACGCTTTATAGTTTTGACCCTGTATAACTGCACTGTACTCACTGTTTCCATGTGATTTTGCAGACATCGATGAGTGCAGCGCTTTGCAGGGTCAAGTGTGCAGGAATGGGCACTGCATCAATGGCCTGGGCTCCTTCCAGTGTCTCTGTCTGGAAGGATATGAAAACACACCAGATGGGAAAAACTGCGTTGGTATGAGAGGATTTTATATTCAAAGGATTGTAAAATTTTCATGGTTTTGGACAGACATTAAGTGGTCTTTTTCTCCCAGATATCAATGAATGTGTCAGTCTGCCTGGCACTTGCTCTCCAGGAACCTGTCAAAACCTGGACGGTTCCTTCAGATGCATTTGTCCCCCTGGATATGAAGTTCAGAATGACCAGTGCATAGGTAGTTCAGATCTAAAAATAAGTATTTTATATCGTTGATCCTTTCATTAATTACTCACCTAAATATACTTTTGCACATTTGCCGTGTGCAGATATTAATGAGTGTGATGTGGAGCCCAACATCTGCCAGTTTGGCACCTGTAGCAACACTCCAGGCAGCTTCCAGTGCACATGCCAACCCGGCTTTGTTCTCTCCGACAACAAGCGCAGCTGCTATGGTAAGAGGACGTATTAGTTTACATTAGGCTAATCAACATCATGTAATTCGATCTAGAGAAACTGATTTTTATTGTTTTCAAAATGTCAGACACCAGAGAGAGTTTCTGCTTCACTAAGTTTGAGAGTGGAAAATGTTCAGTGCCCAAAGCCTTCAACACGACTAAGGCAAAATGCTGCTGCAGTAAGATGCCTGGAGAGGGCTGGGGGCTTCCATGTGAGCTGTGTCCACAAGAGAATGAAGGTACAAACTAGACACAGCAAAAGTTAATTATGTTATAGATATTGAGACTGACCTTTAATGATGCTTTTCCAGCTGCTTTCAACACACTTTGTCCATTTGGCCATGGGGCTTTGCCTGGACCAGGGAACACACGCGAAGGTCAGCAGTAAATCTAAATGGATATATACAAACCGTCACAAACCATTTCATAGTTGTATTAAATATTGTTTATCTATAGATATGAACGAGTGCCTAGATAACCCGGGCATTTGTCAGAATGGTATCTGCATCAACACAGACGGGTCGTTCCGCTGTGAATGTCCATTCGGGTACAATCTGGATTACACTGGAGTCAAATGTGTCGGTAAGTCCATAAAACAAACAGGTTTCTATAGTACGATCCTGTGATGTAGAGCAGTGTTTCCCAACCTTCTGTATCCTCGCCATCTTAAACAGGGCATAAATACCCTCTGTTGATGAGTAGTAGTAGTAATCATTTTTATTTCAAACGCATACAAAATAAAACACTAAACAAGATACAGAGTGAACTAGATCATGTACCCCACGTTTTTAGGTTTTACTGTTAAATCAAGATCTCCATAGTTGTATTTTTGGAAAGTGTTTTATAGTTCAGCTTTTGCAATCAGATGGTTTATTTATTATCTTTTTTTTGTTTACATTATTTTAGGATTTTGACCAAATCATTAATTTGATTTAACTTGAGTTTTAGATTTTTATGAACAAAATCAGTACATTCTTGGAATGAACCAAACTGGGACAAAAGTAAGAAAGGTGTGTTATCGCAGACTGATCTCAATTGTGTAAATTTTTTGAAAAAAATATGTAGGTGATTGCCCTCTTGCTTCTCAACAAGAAGGTCCTGGGTTCAAATCCTGGTCAGTATAGGGCCTTTCTGAGTTGAGTCTCCCTGCGTTTGCTCCAGTCTCCCCTACCTCTATAAACATGTGCTAGCATGTGCCTCTTGTATGATGATCTGTGTGAATGGGAGTGAATGCCCAAAACAATTGTAAAGCGCTTTGTGGCTTTACACAGATGCTATATAAATAAAGATTACTTACTTACTGACTTAGCATGAGGGGTCCGCTTACCCCTGTTGGGAAACACTGTTGTTCAAACAAAAGCACTAATGTCCCTGCTTGCCCCTTGCAGACACTGATGAGTGCTCTATTGGAAATCCATGTGGAAACGGGACCTGCACAAATGTTGTTGGTGGATTTGAGTGTGCTTGCAATGAAGGCTTCGAACCGGGAACTATGATGACCTGTGAAGGTAAGTTCTGAGATCCATTTCTACAAATTTACATCTAACTTTTTAAATTTGTTTTCAGATGTAAATGAATGCTCCCAGAATCCACTGCTCTGTGCTTTTCGCTGCGTCAACACGTTTGGTTCTTATGAGTGTATGTGTCCGTCCGGTTACGTCCTCAGAGATGACCACCGCATGTGCAGAGGTCAGTATCACAATCTGAATTCTTTATATTGCCATTGTGAGTAGAAGACTAATAAATTGCTTTGGCTCTCAATGCAGTTATAAAAGTAAAAATAGAACAAGGCATGCATAAAGATAAAAAAATGAAAATCTACATAACATTTCTAGAAATTAGTACTATATACAAGTGCACTGAGTACACATAATGTTTAGCAGTGTAGTAAAATGACAGTAGTGACAGTAAACAGATCACCGTCGTGCTAAAACCCCAAGTCAGATAAGATACTCCTTTAATGTCTCTTGGGACCGGGGTTGTTAAGGAAGTTTCTACCCAATGAAGGAGGAAACTCAAAGGTCCTTTGTCTGATCAAAAGCGTAAGTTTATTGTTAACGCACGTGCGGAGAGCCAGCACATACACTCCAAAAGCAGCATGTCCCAGCTCTGAGGGCAGAGCCCCAAGTTTCCTGTATACAAGACACACACGAGAGACAGTCCCGCCCACAACAGATTGGAGGGGGCCACCCGTGAGGAGGCGCATGGGGAGCGTTTGGCGCCGTCTGGGAACGAGGTGCGAACAGACAGACAATGGTCTAAATGCAGGTCATACAGATGCAAGACACGGAAGACACAAGGGTGTGACAGACAGCAGGACGTAGAAGATGCACACATACAGACCGATAGATATGCAAGAGGCGAAAGGCACAAGGGTGTGACAGGCAGCAGGATGTAGAAGATGCACACATACAGACCGATAGATATGCAAGAGGCGAAAGGGAGGACAGTGATTTGCGCCATTGTCTGTAGGTGTCGGGGAGGGCCCGGCTCCTTCCTGGAACAGGGACATATGACATATGAATAGAAACAGGCAGGGTTGCATGAATACTAGTCGCTTGCCATCACACTCCTTTCCCGTGATAATGTAAAAACCCCAGTTTTACAGAGATCACATTCAGGTGTGTGAGTATTGACCTTGGCCCCTGAGTAAAAGAAGAGTTGTTGATGGGCAGGTTACGCCGCCGTCACCCAAGCCCTGTATTACGGGGGTGTGGTCAAAGCTCTTCGTTGTGATACCCTCCCCCTAAATTGTGGGCGGAACAAGTGGAAAAATAAAAACAAAGTAAACAAGAAAGAAAAACGTTAGACAAAGTCGTCGTCCGAATCGCTGATATAATCAGGATCGGAGTTCAGTGGGACCGCGGCCAGGTCCGCCTCAGGGTCTCTGTGTTGAATGGACACAAAGTGAGTGGATATCATTTTACCAACGGCCCGAAACACCATGGGTAATACACATGAAAATAAAATCATAACGGTCAATAGGGCTAAACCAAGATTAATGAGCACACTTCGCCAGGAGGACAGGAGCCAGTCCAGACCGTGAGGAGTGTCCGTGACATTGTCCGCTTGCATGGCGTCCCGGAGTCTAGTCAGATTGGCTATGCCCTGTTGGATAAGACCTCCGTCCTCATCGTTGGCCGGAATATATGTACAGCAGGACGACCCGATGATCGTGCATACGCCTCCCACAGACGCGGTCAGGTGGTCCAGGACCAGCCGGTCGAACAGTGCCGCCTTGCAGTCAGTGGCACCGCTCCCTATGAGCGTGTGTGGAGCGTTAGTGGTCATGGCGATGTTTGGTCTTGGAGCGGCAAGACTCTATTTGCGTTGAAGCCTTGGCCTCAGCACTCGGTTGGGCAGAGTGCTCGGGATTTGGGGTGTGGCCTTGGGGTCCGGGGGCTGGGGAGTTGGGCAAAGGGGGGTTGCCTCGGCAACGCTGGGATTCTCTGGGTGTTGTTGTTGGCCTGCTTCACCGATGGTGGCCGCACGCCGGCCAACCTCTTCAGCGTAGGGAGCCGCGGATGGGCCTGGTCCGTCCGCGCCCTCGGTGTCCTCGTCTATGGCCCTCAGTGGCAGCACCGCACGACAGTGGTTGGCGTGGATCCAAGTTGTCCTCTCCGCGACCTTAACGGCAGTGTCCGTCACCAGGAGGGCGAGGAATGGGCCGAGCCAGCGCTTGGACCGCCAATGCTTTCGTCTCGTTTCCTTCATCAGGACCCAGTCGCCTGCGCAGCCTGTGGCAGGGCGCTCCTGACCTGGGCAGAAATAGAGGACAAAAGTGCATTAATTTCCTTACAATAGGACAGCATGTCGTCATCACACAAAGAGGTGCTTGGCAGATCTCTGTTCGGGGGTCCCGCGCCCAACGTGGGGCTAGCGGCAGAGCTTTGAGTGCCATTCTCTCGCTCGCACGTGCCTCCGGACCAGGGGGCGTAACTGCAGTGTTTACGTATATCAATGCCCAGAAATTCACCCACTTCCTCAATGACTTTTGCTACAAAGTGACTCACCACCGCGTTGCTCGTGGCGTGTATGCCTGCAAATACTTCAGTCCATTTGGACCAGAGATCCGCCAGACCCAGACAGTATTACTTACCTTGGCATGGTGTGAGTTCAACAAAGTCCCTTTGGACATGTTGAAATGGGCGCAGGGGCGGAGGATGAGCAGCCTGTTGGATACTTTTGGGACTTACCTGGGTTGTGCGCGAGGCATATAGCGCATGTTTGGCTGAATCTCTGTGCAAATGCCGTAAACCCCTTTGTATACCAATTTTGTGTGATTAAATCACACATCATCCCTCCTTTTGAGGCATGGTCTCGACCATGTGCTAAAATTGCAAACTGTCTGAAGAAATGCAGTGGTAGGCACGGTTTGCTGTCTGGTCCCAGCCACACACACCATGCCGTCGTTGAGCCCCATTCCCCTCCCACAGCAGCGTCTCTGCTGGAGTAGAAAATATCAACGTCTTGAGTGAGGTAGTGTGTGTGTGTGTGTGTAGAGGTGCGTATGCCGCTGCCTTGTCCGCGCGCCGATTCCCTGCAGAGATGGGATCAGTGGCATTAGTGTGGGCCTGGCATTTGCATACAGCGATCTCTAAGGGCAACATTACAGCTCTCAGCAGACGTTCAACCTGTGTGGAATTAAGAATTGGTTTACCATCAGATTTCATAAAATTGCGGTGTTTCCACAGTGCTTCCCAGTCGTGCACCACAGAGAAACCATAACGCGTATCACAGAATATGTTAACCGTTTTGCCCGCTGCCAGCCCCGGTGGGCGCGACCAGTTCAGCGGTTTGTGCTGAATGGTAGTGGGGCAAACTACCAGAGTCTATAGTATCAAAATCAGAACACACAGCATAGCCGACTCGGTTCTTCCCAGTGTTGTCACGTGACGCGGCTCCGTCTGTATAAAAAAAATCAAGTCAGGATTAGTCAGAGGCACCTCTTTCAGGTCTGGCCTGGGAGTGCATATCTGTTCTATTGTGGCGATACAGCAGTGTGCCTCCCCTTCCTCTGGCGTGGGCAGCAGCGAGGAGGGGTTCAGCTGTGTGCATCCCTTCACCGTAGTTCAAAGAGCACCGTGTTGTACCCCAGCCAACGAGCCGCAGAAAGGCGAGAGGCCCTCTGCTCTAACAGGATCAGGGAAACAGCATGGGGCACAAGCAAAGTTAGTTCAGTGTATCCCACAAGGTCACGTGATGCTAGGGCCGCTTTCTCAGCGGCAGCCACAGCCCGCAGGCAGCGAGGCAACCCTGCTGCCACGGGATCGAGTTTTGCTGAGAAGTAAGCAGTGGGTCTCAGTGGCCCTCAGTGAGGCTGCAAAAGTACCGACTGTTCCGTTCATCTCCAGTTGCTTTTCTCCCGGATCGTCCTCAATTCATATTGTGGGCTTTTGTGCCAAAGTGGAGGCTCATTTCCTCCTGATCCATACTACTGTCATCCCTGGAGCAGGGGTAGTTTATCTCTCATCTGAAAAAGAAATATCAGAACACAAAAAAAAACACAAAAAATGCCCACTTTCGCTTGTCAATCTTTTTCCCAATTGGGCAAAACATAACTGCATTGACAGGTGGTGTGTGGCATCAGGGCGGAGGCTGTAGCCAAATACAGAACAACAAAATGTATGTTTCTAATTTTATACTCCCCTAAATGTGAGTTTACAAACCAAAGTTGTCCTCCGCCCAATGACCGCTCACTGCGGTTGGACCGAATCACTGTCAGGGCAAACAGCAGAGGGAGGAACTCCCAATATCTTCAGCGAGGTATTTCATCTCCGAGTACTTTCCGCAGAGTACTTTTCTCAGAGTACTCATCCCAGAGTACTCTCACTTTTACACCTGTTCAATAAAGGTCGTTATCTTTGAATCTCTAGTACTTACACCGTATGCTGTTGACAAAAAAGAATTATTCCATGATCACATTAAAACATTACAGACACATTTGTTATTCCATGATTCCGTTCAGCATTCCTCATTTCACTCCACGCTCACATCACAGTCACATCACAGTCACATCACAGTCACATCACAGTCACATCACAGGCCGATTCCCCACGTTAGTATTGGTCCAGAGTTTGTTAAGGTCAGCGTAGTGTACTTTGACATGACACACAAACATATAACATACACAAAACATATAACACACAAACATGTAACACACACAGAAGGCCTGTACTTTTAACTTTGTTATATTTTTCCATGTCCAATTCCAATTGTCTCATGAGCTATTTCTTATTGTTGCAACTTTCAGAGCCTGCAGAGCTTTAAAAGAGTTTTCCTAAAAGGATCCATTTCCAACTTTAGTGTTTACCACGTGGTCTGTATTTCGGGCTTATCACAGATTGTGTCCCCTATATCTCTAATGAGCTCTTGTCACCTAAAAAATGTTTATTTTCCTTATTTTTTTTTTCTTTTTCAATAAAGCCAGGTCGGATTCATTAAAAATGTAAATTAGTCTCAAACTTTAATACTTCACCTTTGTTTCACGATAAAAATGTTTTTGTTGCTCATTAAGTAGCACAGATAGTGGTGCCTATCTCAATAAACGTACTCCGTTAGCCTATCTTCCCTACACTGCATGAATTTTCAAACTCCAAGTTATTGTCTGGGAACGACCGGAGAGAGCAGCTTAGGTCGTTCGCGTGGTTGACCTCCAAATTTTGTGCGGGCGTCACTATTCACTTGTTGTGGCTAATAACTTAGCAATCTCAGGGTTTGGTGTCAATTTCCAGTGGTAGTTAACTTTTGGGACCGGTGCCTCCTTTTATTTATCTATTTTTAATTGAGTCTGCACATAAGGTCTCGGCCTAGTAGATTAACCGGGCACAATGGGGAATATAGAAAAGAATGTTTAAGCTGGTTGCCCTGAGAATCAAAACACGTTAGCGGTGACGTAAATTGCTCTTTAGTCGTCTCTCCCGACGCTGCTAATTAGAATATGAAGCGGCCGCTCATTTTAGGGGAGACAGAAAGGCTGTCACTTTTAGCACAGAATTTGTTGCCCCGGAGTCATCCAGAATTTTAACTTGTACACCACAGGTTGTTAGCGTATATTACGGGCATGAATTATCTCTAAAAAGTGCCAATTGCAATTTGTTGTTGTTCAACTTACATGAGCGGTCGCTTTGGTGACGAATGTGAACCCAGGTTTGGTCAGTCGCTCGTGTTTCCTCCGTGCCCGCCTCTGCCGTCCTCTGGCCCCGTGTTAGCTTGAGCGTTCCTCTGCCTTTAACGCCTCCTCCGGTAACAGTCCTTCGACCCATGTCGAGCACACAGTCTTTCCGCCGGGCTGTGGAAGTTTTTCAAAGTCCGCAGGAGGCCCAGGTAGCCCAAAGCGTTAGCATGTGGTCCATGAGGGTTGGTGAATAACCCAAACGTGCCGGTCACAATGGCTTCTTCTGTTTGCGGTGCGGGAACAACTTTCAAGGGGGTTTCCGCGGGTGCGTTTGGTATATCACGCTGCCCCCTCCGTGGAGAACAGTCACGGGATTTGGAGCAGTTTCTCTCTGTGCTCCAAAGCAGTTGTCGGTGTCTCACATATTTGTTTCCCTCGCTTCTTCTTCTGTGGTTTCCTGAGCGTGTGTCTGTTTCCGCCTCTTCTTCTTCTGCGGTTTGGGCCCACTTCTCGCGGGGTCTCAGCTGGTGCGAGCGCCGCCTGTGGTTGGGGCGTGGGGCTGGTGCTTTGAGGCAGAGGACAGAGCGCGGAGGAAAGGCGCCGACAGACCTGGATAGGGAAGAGGGAAAAGAGACAACAGTAGTCTGCTTCATTTTTTAAAAACCCAACGCCTTGTTTGGGCGCGTACTTAGCATGGAGTTCTGCTCCTAGTGTGAAAGGGTTAGTAGGTGAGAGAGGGCGTGTGTGTGTGCGCCTGTGTGTTCTCCGCTTCGGTGAAAGGCGGAGGAGCTATTGTTTTTACATATTTCTTTCTCTAACCTCTTTTGCCGTGATATTCTTAAAACCAAGTATATTTTTTCTTCCCTTCTTCTTCTAAATTATCACGCAAGATGCGTAATGGCCTGCACCATAGGCAAGCACTCCATAGCTTGCATCTTCTAGATTGATTTTTACCCATTTTCTCGTACGAACAATGGGCCTAACCCGCTTAGTCTCTCCCTGCTCTTACCCACTTTGGGGCGCTCCGTTCCCCCCCCCGCTGGTTCAACCAGCGAGCGCGCGTTCTTGAAAACGGAGCGGTTCTGGCTGAAGACACTCAGAGATTCCAGGGTCGCTTACAATGCGATACTAACGCGCAGCCGCTAGCTTCAATCTAGAACAAAAAGCCCCCAAAAAATCCCGCACACAGTCTATGCTGTGGCAATGAATGAAATACCCCAAAAAATACATAAATAAACAAATCCCCGTGTACACTTAAGTGCTGCCCTGGGCTCGTTACGCAGATGAAAAGACAAGACTCACCAGATTAGGTTCTTTTTGGTCTTGTGTGGCAAAAGGATTCCTTCCGTGCGCGGGACGAGCGCGCCCTCCTTTGTCTCCAAAAAGGAACAGAGGCTGGTGATCCAGGTCGGCCAAACAAAGCCGCTCGTCCCCGCCGAAAGTATCCATGCCAAGACATGTCAGCAACGCCAAATTGTTAAGGAAGTTTCTACCCAATGAAGGAGGAAACTCAAAGGTCCTTTGTCTGATCAAAAGCGTAAGTTTATTGTTAACGCACGTGCGGAGAGCCAGCACATACACTCCAAAAGCAGCATGTCCCAGCTCTGAGGGCAGAGCCCCAAGTTTCCTGTATACAAGACACACACGAGAGACAGTCCCGCCCACAACAGATTGGAGGGGGCCACCCGTGAGGAGGCGCATGGGGAGCGTTTGGCGCCGTCTGGGAACGAGGTGCGAACAGACAGACAATGGTCTAAATGCAGGTCATACAGATGCAAGACACGGAAGACACAAGGGTGTGACAGACAGCAGGACGTAGAAGATGCACACATACAGACCGATAGATATGCAAGAGGCGAAAGGCACAAGGGTGTGACAGGCAGCAGGATGTAGAAGATGCACACATACAGACCGATAGATATGCAAGAGGCGAAAGGGAGGACAGTGATTTGCGCCATTGTCTGTAGGTGTCGGGGGGGGCCCGGCTCCTTCCTGGAACAGGGACATATGACATATGAATAGAAACAGGCAGGGTTGCATGAATACTAGTCGCTTGCCATCACAGGGTTCACATGCTTTACACCACATTTGCATAGACCACGGCAAACATTAAACCTTAAAGATTAAACAGACCAATATAGACACAGGCGAGAGCACAAGTTACCTGTTGTGGCATTGTGAGCAGACCAGGACGAGTGTGCTGAGGGCCTGGACGACTGTAACTCAAAGGGGATGATCTGTAAGAACTTGATCGGGACGTTTATGTGCATCTGCCCCCCTGGAATGCAGCGGCGTCCAGACGGAGAAGGCTGCATGGGTGAGTAGAAATAACTCCTTACATGCTGCTTCGTACCACTGTTCTCTCATGCAGACACTGTATTTTCAAACGGCAGATTTGAATGAGTGCCGTGCCAAACCGGGAATATGCAAGAATGGAAGATGTATCAACACTGTGGGAAGTTACCGCTGCGAGTGCAACGATGGTTTTGAGCCCAGCTCCACAGGAACAGAGTGCATTGGTAAATCATTACAGAATAATTTAACTTTTATTGGACTTCTTTCAAACTTTTTCTTTTGTAAAAAAAAATGTATTATTGAAATAGTTTTCATCTTCTTCAGTAATTGATTAATCGTATTTTGAAGTCACCTCACAATTGTGTTGTTTATTAATTTACAAAGCCATCCCCGTGGCTTCCCGTCCAAGTCCTTACCAGGCCCAGCTTTCTTTAGCCGAAAGTTGGGCACTGACAAGAAACTGATGCAGAAAAATGTTTTTAAGTGTAGTCCAGACTTTGCCCTTCTGTCTTTTGAGAAGTCTTTCATGTTAGTTTCAGCTCCTAAAATCAATCAAGTTAACTTTTAAAACTATGACAATGACCTAATACTTTTGTGTATTTAGACAACAGAAAAGGCTTCTGCTACATGGAGGCTCTGCAGACCATGTGTCAACAGTCCTCCACGAACAGAAACAGCGTCACAAAGTCTGAGTGCTGCTGCAACGCAGGCAGAGGATGGGGGACACAGTGTGAGCTCTGTCCACTGCCAGGAACTGTCCAATACAAGAAGATGTGTCCTCAGGGACCGGGCTACACCACTGACGGCCGAGGTAATCACACTTTAGTTAAAGAGATATGTTATGCTGAATTGTCAATTGTTATTGAGTGTAAATCCTCGTCCAAAACAGACCTAATAACAGGAACGTGTAACTCGTCCCCTTTTGTTTATAAGCTCCTGTCTCACTGAATGACGTTGAAATGACGGACATTAAAGCCTTTATCAGAATGATGGGCTTTAATGGCAGAAACCTCATCATAAAGATAATATCTATCTATGCTTTCTTGTTTCTGAAATTGTTCCTCATTTCACTTCACATTTATACTTCATCAAGAGTACGCAATACCTAATCTTTTTAAAACTACTTTACAATTCTTTACAATCTCATGGCAGTGGTTTCAGCAATTTGTTTAAAATAATTGAAGAAACATTTTATATCCTCAGATATCAATGAATGCCTAGTGATCCCAGACTTGTGTAAGAATGGTCAATGCATAAACACCATTGGATCCTTCAGATGTCACTGTAATATTGGTTACAAAGCAGACTTTACTGCCACTTCCTGTGTTGGTAAGGAATAACTCGATATAACTATCATCACTCAAACATTATTGCCAGAGTTACATGTGTGCTTCTGTTTTCAGATATGGACGAGTGCTCTCTGTCTCCTAAGCCTTGTAACTTCCTGTGTAAGAACACTGAGGGCAGTTATTTATGCTCCTGCCCCAGAGGATACAGCCTGCAGCCAGACGGAAAGACATGCAAAGGTAGTTTCATTCTTTATTTATTGCCTTAGTTTTTGTTAAACTCTTTTTAAAATGTGTTTCTTCATACATTTCCCCTACCCTTGGTCAGATCTCGATGAGTGTTCTACCAAACAGCACAACTGTCAGTTCCTTTGTGTAAACACCATTGGGGGCTTCACCTGCAAGTGCCCTCCCGGCTTCACTCAGCACCAGACCGCCTGCATCGGTGAGAAATATTTTATTTAATTCTTTCTTTCTTTCTTTTAGCCTCTGTAATTTCTGGTAGATACAGAATAGGGCATCCTTTTTGTTTTGAATTGTCGATGTCATTTGTCATTAGTTGTCATGCCTTAAAACAAGGAAATAGAAACAATTATATTGATGAAAAAGAGAACTTAAGTGACTTAGGCTCACTGTAAATCCTTTCACCGTGAAATAATGGTAAAGAGCTGTCATCGCAATATCTATTTGTTACCTCTCTTAAACTGGTGAATTACCTCCACTCACATCCAATGGTAGTTTAAACTTCCTGGATGTGAATTCTCTATTTCAAACTTGTTCAAATGTGAAGTGAAGATGCTTATCTTATATGAATGTTATATGAATAATGTCTCTATCTGCAGACAATAATGAATGTACGGCTCAAACCACTGTGTGTGGTTCCCGCGCCTCCTGTGTCAACACCCCAGGGAGCTTCAACTGTGAATGTGGCAAAGGATACTCACTGGACACTACAGGGATCGAGTGTGAAGGTGAAACACACTTAACTTATGTATACATGTAAACACGATATACTGTGTGCGTGTTGTAACTGCTGGAGTTGTGCTCAGATGTGGATGAGTGCGGCACCAACCACCGCTGTCAACATGGCTGCCAGAACATGATGGGCGGTTTCCGCTGTGGCTGTCCTCAGGGATATGTACAACACTACCAGTGGAACCAGTGTGTTGGTCAGTATATTCCCAGTATGCTGTGTGTACATTTAGCCGGTATCATTGTAACATATCTGTCTCCGCCTCCAGATGATAACGAGTGCCAGGGAGGAACAATGTGTGGATCTGCTTCCTGTTATAACACACTGGGAAGCTACAAGTGTGTGTGTCCTTCAGGATTTGACTTTGAGCAACAAAGTGGTGGTTGCCAAGATGTAAATGAATGTAGCATGGGGAACAACCCTTGCAGCTATGGTTGCTCCAACACTGATGGAGGATACCTATGTGGCTGTCCGGGTGGATTCTACAGAGCAGGACAAGGGTAAAAATAGTATATAGGCTCTTTGATTATTTCAGCTGTTGGTTCAATGCTGTATTCACCTTCCACTATTGTTCTGTTTAGTCATTGCATCTCAGGCTCAGGATTCCCTGGGCAGCTTTCTGAGGGAGATGAAGAGGACAGTTTATCACCAGAGGCTTGCTACGAGTGCAAGATTAATGGTGGAGCTAAGAATGGTCGACACAAGCGCAACACCGACAGCAATGAGCTCAATCAGGTATCAGTTTACAAGGCCCTTTCATTTAAGTGCATGTTGCTGGTTTTAACATATTTTGTCTTTCAGGAGAAAGTTGTGAGCATGGCCAGTGTCGACACTCAGGACATCATCCCCTTGAATGTGTCTTTGGCATCACTGCTGAACAAAGAGCCACTGTTAGAGCTGCTTCCAGCCCTGCAGCCCCTGGAGCATCATGTCCGCTACGTCATCACCCACGGCAACGCTAACGAACACTTCCGGCTACTGGAACGTCGGGATGGAAAGAGTGTGCTCCGACTCGCCAAAAAGCTCCCACCAATCGGGTCTTACAGGCTGGACATCAGCAGTTTACGGCTGTTCGGCCCACGGCGGCTCCACCAGCTGGAGGAGCAGCATGACACTGACTACCTACAAGGGGAGATAGGAGACGCCCTGCGCATCAAGCTCCACATTCACCTGCACTGAGTCTGGTGCAGTGAGGCCCAGGACGAACTACCTTCAGGGCAATACTATCATAAGGAGAACTATCAAAGACTGATTCAATCAGCCGTCTACTACCACTCATGCAACTAAAAATACTTGTGTTTGTTTTAATATACCCTCTCCAAACTAAACGGACCCAGTGCTCTTCAATGAAAGAGCAGAAGAGATGACCAAGAGCAGTCAAGTGCTTGGACCATAGTCCATCACTTTGCAGTATGTAAGTCCTCCAGTGTAAGCTCACAAAGTGTTTCAGATATGAAACTTAAACAACATTTCCCCAAAGTGTTCCAAGGACAGACCTACCGTACATCGTGTGCCACTATTACAGTATTGTTGTGTCAGTACAGATAGGACCAGGCCTCCCTTACACTGGTCCAAGGACTTGGCTCCATCATTAACACAGGGCAGAGGCTTCTCCTCTCATTATTGTAGCATGTCATTTTATGTGTTGTTGAAATGTTAACACGAAGGACTGCAACATTTAGTACATGACAAATTCAGGTGTTTTCTACTTTTGTATGTGTCTGTTTGTAGATGGACGTTACTCAATCCTTCATAACTCATAGCTGTATTTTTCTGGGAGCAGGGATTAGTTTGATGCAGTCTCTGGCCTCAGAATGAAGAGGATGTTTGTGCCTCAGCAGAGCCATCAGCAGGTTATAGCTTTTAGAGTTTATGTAAAAGTGACTGACACCAGGTCGCAGGTTTTATTCCTCCCGTAAGGGAGTAAGACTTAGAGTGCACTGATTCTGAGACAAGTTCTCAGACGAAGTCTCTGAGCTGCTCTGTGTTTACAGCACACACACACACGAGTCATAAAGGTACATGATGTGAACTTTACCTCAGCTAACACAGGTAATGTTACGCACAGGTGGTCTCATCACCTCATCTGTCAAGTCATTATTGAGATTCTTCTCTCAAAGAGAAAAAGGTGCTAAATAAAACCCATCTTTGACGCTGTACAGAGAAAAGTGCAGTCTTGAATCTGGATTGCAAATTGTTTTTGTTACGTTTTGTTATTATGTGTCTGTTTTGTCTCAGTGCTGAAAACAATTATCAGAAATGCTTTTGAAAATGTAATTGTATATTTTTAAAGTTAAATGTAGATTTTTTTAATGTTGAGGATGCCAAAACTCACTCAGTGATTTCTTGAAGACTGTTTTGCCAGACCAAAAAGTGAGGTTTTCTCAGTTTCCTGTAAAACCACTGCTACTTATAACAGCTCTATTATTTACATTCCTGATTCATCTGCGTTTTCATTTACAAAAGGACACTTGTCTTTCTACAGCATGGACCTCTGTACCCCTTTTGCTGCACTGTTTCTCAGCCTGACAGGAACAAACTTGGGAACCTTCAAATACTTATATCTTTTATGATTGATTTTTCTTTTGCCACCATGTTTAAAAAGGCAGTACACTTTCTGCTGTACTTTAAATATCCATGTTTTAAAACCAAGAACTCCAAGGTTCTTTGACAATCATCAAAGCACAACTTCCAAGCCTTCATCTGTGCTTACAACTGAACCAAAAATGACAACCGTTAAATAGGATTCATTAGTGATACTTGTGTCCAAAGGCATACATGAATAATAAAGTAATGTTGGTTACATTTGAAGAATGTTATTTTGGTAAGCCTCTATTTCAAGTCAATTACATCTACATATATTTATCATGTGGGTCTCAAATAGGCTAGTTCATACTGTATTTGTGATGAGGACCAGGCAATAAGCAGGACAGAACTCAATTTACATTGTCGTTTTTGTACCACATTATAAGTGTCTGTCGATTTAAAGGATGTGTTGATAATTGCAATCTACAAAAATTGAGATTACGATTCTTTGGCACAGCCCTGTTGGCGGATAGAATGATACTAACACATTGGTGATAAAGTTATTTTTTAATTCAAACTGACTCCAGTCAGTTTATCAAAAGCAATAATCATAAAAAGTTACAAATCACATTTGAGCAAATTCTTCCTTGTGGTTGCATTATAAGCTCCAAAATCTACACACTATTAAAGAAGAAGGACGGAGACATTGCAAAAAAGAGGCTCCAAAACTGGAACTCCGGGTAGAAAAATAAATAGTTTTTTAGCGAAAGGTTGCAGTTTGCTCTGTTAGCACACAGCTGAAAAAAACAAAGTTTACAACCATGTGACGTAGCGTCTGCAAGAGATAACAGTAAGTTCAATATGGCTTCTCAGTTCAGACACACACAGTAGAGCCGGGCCCACACAAACCAGGCCCATGTGAAAACCTTATATTTGGATAAAAAACAAACTGCAAGCTCAAGCTGTTGGAAGCATATGAACATATCACATGGAGAAGAATCATTTTCCTGATGGATTAAAGGGGCTAATGATATCATGTCATTATACTGTGGCACTACAGCAGGGCCACAATGACACACTGTTGTAGTCTCCAGAATCATGTTGAATATTGTCCTGATGTGACATCCAGGTGTATCACAAGTTGCAGAGTTTAATATTAAGGCAGCTTCATAGATAAGCTATGTCCATTGCAGAACTTTAGCTCTTTGGATTCCTGTCTCTTTGTAATTAGATGAATTCCCCTGCAGAAGCCTCTGAAACATTATGTCTGTATAATTGGCTTTACATATAGTATTAGACAAGTGCATAATCAAACTGCCCCCTCTCTATCCCCTCCTTGTGGTCAGTCCAGGACGATGCAGGCATTCGGCTGTAGGGGTCCAGCAGGATCCTGAAGCACCTGACCAGCAGGAAAATGAGGAACAGCATGAGAAGGCCCACGAACGCAAAGGCCGTGCGCTGCTCGTTGTCTGCCCCCAGCAGGGCCACAGGTGGACTGCTGCTGCCTCCAGAGCTGCCCCCCAGGGATGAGCTGGCTGGGGACAGCAGCAACTCGTAGTCCAACGTAGGGACATGGTTCATCCTCCACGGGGCCCTAAGGCACGGTCTGCACACTGCCTGGAGTGCGGGGGTGTTTGGTGGGGGCGTGGGGAACAAGGACAATGTGTTCATGTGTTTGTACTGTTTATAAAACCAATCCAGAGAAATAGTGTATTCTATGAGTTGTTAGATGCTTTGACTCAAGGATTCCCAGGTGGTCTAGGAGTTGACAGATCTGTCCCTAATTCACTTTGACAACTTGACCGTTGTCCCCCAGTCTGTAAATATAGACTGTCTATAAACTGCTTAATGAAGCTGTTGCCCTGAGCTCCTTCTTATTTGGGGTGTTTGGGCCACACTTCCACATCAGGAATCATCTTCACTTTGGACCTGAGCTGACAGGAGTGGACTAAAGCGCCTGCTGAGACAAATGAAAATATGTGATGATGGCTAAGGCTGCCAGATAATGGATCACAGTGCTTTCGATCAGAGTCAGTTCAGCAAAATAGTATTTCCTGATGTGTGTGTTATATATAAATGTGTGAAAGTAGCCATGGCTGCCGGCCTGGTCCCTCTGACAATAAAAACATGAGTGTCACTTTGCTCTGGTCTCCTGCAAAGACACAAACTGTTCCTCGATCTCTGGTTGGTTCAGATGTAATAAGTGGGTCAGAGCTGTCAAGTGCTTAAATGAGCCCTCTCTTCTCCACGTTTGGGATTTCAAAATGAGCAACAAGAGGAATGAAAATCAGGCAGTCATTGTCCATCATTCGGGTGAGCTGTCAGAGCAGAAGTAGCTTTTGTTGTAGCGTCAGTGCAGCTGCAGTCTTGAATCCAGAAGAGGCTGTTTCAGTCCCTGAAAACACAAGCATAACTTTAGAATACGGCTCTACCCAAACGCATTATTATTGATGAAAACATTACAAATTGACAGAAAAGATTCAACATGACACATTTCACAAAATCTCACAATTTCTTACAATCTAAAACTACCGTACATGTATTCTGATAATGATCTCACCGCAGACCTGATCTGTATCGCATGCTTTGTAAGAACAAGGACCTCCTGGAGAAAGTTAAATAACCCTAGGCTGGGATACAAAACCTTTTCATTTCATTTCATTTCTCATATAACACAGTGTTTGTCATGACCAAAACAGGCTGTCTTTATTAGTTAGAAAGCATTATAAGTTAATATTTGCAAACTGGTCCTCGCTGTTTCACTTTTTCTGTCTGAAAAGGTTGATCTAAAGATGTGACAGAGACTTGCATGTGAAAACTAGTCATGTGTGAACTTGTGAACTGCTTTAGTAATTTATAACCATTTCAAATATCCTTCCACACTGTGTAGAAAGTCACAGCGAACTCTGCAAAGTAAATATGACCAAAAGAACTGCTGATCTTTGGCAATGTTTTTTGTCAGTGTTCAAAGATCTCAGTCCACTACTTTATCAGCGGTGCAGTCAGGCGCAGCTCCCAGGGTGATCTCACACCAGGGAAGAGATCAGACTGGAGCTATGCGCAGAGACAAAAATAGGAACCTTCAAGCTGCCCAAGGACTAAGTTTCAACTCATACAAACACACAAAAACAAGAAAACACTGACTTTACTTTTATGATCGCTGGGCAAGTCTCTGCTGTCGACCCAGGAGTCAAATCACATGAAACCTGACAAAGCAAAGAGAATGAATGTGTTTTTACAGTGTTTTTACTTAAAGCTGAGGTGCCTAACTTTACAACCACAAAATGAAAAAAACTCCACGTGACGAGTTCCTTGCTCTAAAAATCACTAGTTTTCTTATGCATGTGTTATTTTTTTCATTTTTCAGAACAGCATTTTTAGTGCAAGAGAGAGTTCCAGCCCTCACTCAGCCAATCAGCACTCAGTATGATATGGGACTTAAAGCAAACAGAGGAAAGTCAGGTGTACAGTAAGTTCAGTAATGGTTTCTGGTTCAGTGATCTGCTCTATCAGTGTTTTCCAACCAGGGGTACACAGACCTCTATCGGGGTACATGGGGCATACAGGGGGTACATGGAAGTATTATTATTAACTTGCAAACATTTATGATGGAAAAGAACCATGTCATGCATAACATTGATCACATTCTACCACAACAACAAGCCCTCACTCCATGCATGTGCTCAGTCTGTCCAGGAAAATATGAATCAATAGTTTGGTCAAAATACAATAATAATGTATTTATTATAATAAGAAATGTTTGACCATATGCAAAAGATTAGCCCAAAACAAACATTAGGACAATGATGACATCCTTGGTTTAACAGTGAAGCCTAAATAATGTGCTGGCCCCTAATCAAAATGAGTTTGACCCTGCATGGGCACATAGGGCAAATAAGGTTACTGGTCCATCTGATCGTACACTTTTCATTGCAATTCTAAACAATTTCATTACAATACTATTTGTTTAGATGGCAATGCTACATGTGCAGGTCTCCAAATGCCAAGGAGCACCAAATAACCTCCTCCAACCATTTCCAAAAAGACATGTTTGATTGTATCAGTCCATTTCTACAGCCTGACATTTCCTTAAAGCACAGAGCGGTCTGCGAGATGTAGGCAGTTCTCATCACTCTTCATCAGAAACCCCTTAACGGACAGAAACAGCAGAGTGCAACAGCAGTAATCTCATTTACATCCAGGCACAAAAGGACACGCTCTGACTCCGATAAATGTATTCAAACACTGCTCATCGCTCACAGAGCCAGAGCCACATGTCCACAACTCATCATTTAATACTAACCTCTTAAGATACGCTCTCTCTGCACTGACGCTGACCACTGCTCAATAAACCATATCATTAAAAGCTTTATAGTTTCAAGTCTACTATATTTTCCCAAAAGAGTGTTTGGACATTTGTCATTATTTATTGCCTGACTAAGGCCACTTTCTAAAAGTAATTAGACTGCTGACACCAGAAGAACGGGAGAGAATCAGGGGAGAATGGAGGCGCTAAAGCTCCTGTGGGGAATTGAATTAACTCTGCAATATACTGTTTATAAAGATAAAGTGGAGCTTGGGGAAAGGCAACACAGAAGCACACAGAAGCACACAGGTGCATGTGGACCAGTGCTTCTATAGTGTATACAGAAGCACACAGGTGCATGTGGACCAGTGCTTCTATTCTAACATGGTTTATACAGTACATTTCTTATGCAGCCTGTTTATTGGCTGTCGGCTGTCGAGGAGTGGACGGCTGTGTGAAGATGTATGGCCGTCATTAGGCTTTCTGCATTCACAGCTGTGCGATCAGACACTGTGCTCAGTGCATTATAGCTACTGTTTTTAATGTACTCTGATTCTTCAGGATTCTTCATGCCTTGTATGATTATTTAGCTCATCACACCCTTCCAGGTAGTTCTCCAAAAGATTAAAGAATGTACTAAATAATCCAGAATGATAACATTTTTAGTCATTATACATCCATTTTAACTTGAAATGTTTTCATTGTATTCACACAAACATAACATCACATTATACAGTTAGCATAACTTTCTTAAAGGTAAATTACTCTGTGATTACATAGGTACAACTAAAACCATGAAATACAAATATATTTATCAGGAAATTATTTTTAGATTATTCAGATAAAATATGAATTATATGTCTCAAATGTGTCTCAGTCTAATTTAGAGAACACTACATAAGAATAGGTTTTTGTGACAATGCTCTTACTACATATTATCCCTCATTTATGAAACTTGCGCAGAAAAGGGTGTATACTTTTGGAGTATATTCCAAATACGCAAAATCCAACGTGGGATTTATGAACGTGTGAGATCCGCCCAGATCTGAGCGTACGCAGCTGCTGCTGATAATAAATGCCACGCTCAAAACTAGCGTAGAAATGAAAGTCCCGCCTGAAACCGCGTTTTCACGCCCTGTTTTACAACAGGTCAGCATGGAAGTCGGCCAGCAAGACTAGTTTGAAGCCTCAAAACGGCATGTGACATGCACTCCTGAGTTTATTCACGTCTGTTTAAAAATAAATATACACTTTATTATACATATGCGTTTTTTCCCTAGTGTCTAGATCCACTGCAGCGCTCATCTCTCTTGAACTTTAGAAGTGAATGAATGAATGAATGAATATTTATATCTTGGCCTCAGCGGTGGCTCTCATCATTACCCGGATGAAGCGTCTGCGACATCTTGAGAATGTAATGGAGCGCTGTGAATTTGAGAAAGAATGCGTATGAGAAGACTTTTGGGACGTGTCCGTGATTTCACAGAGGAACTCTGGATCCAAAACGTCTGAATGACGTGCACCACATTTGAGGAGTTTTGCGGTCGGACGTGTCGTGGCACCTGCTGCGCACTCCCCCAGAGAGCTACAGCCCGTCAGCCCGTTCCTTACAGTTACCATCCTATCTCTGCTACATGTGGAGTACAAGGCAGTTTCAATATATGGGCTTTTATTACTGTATAAATATATATATATTATTATTATCAACATACTTGTCTGTTGCATTTGAAAATCAACTTCAGAAGTTTGCAGAAAATCTATCATAAAAAAGTAAAATTGTAATGAGTTCATTTATCAACAGAAATGTGTAAAAGCAACATCAAATGTGTTTGGTATTGAGCCAATTCTAACCAATATTTCTCCATCACGTCTCCTGGCTCATCTTTCATCAGTTTGATGTATGGATCTAAGTGCAGCTCTGCCAGAAGTATATGTGCTTTAGCTCTGCTTTCTGAAGAAAAGAGAAAAATCTGATGCAGTTCGACAGATTGAAAGAACTACCGTTTTAAAAATCCGATGGTGCAAAGGGACAAAACAGCAGCAGTGCACCTGTGCAGTTCCATCTGCAGCAGCCCCGCATTTCTCACTCTCTTATAGATATCACTGAAATAGACTCTATATTCTGTGCCATTGCAAGATAACGCAAAATGCTCCTTAATTCATAGCGACCTTAGGTATGTGGTTGTAGTCCCATAAATAATATACATACAATGTTTTTCACCTACACACCTCAAACCTCAGAAGTAACATGAACACAGTGATATTTATGCCTTGAAGCATGACCATAAACTGTAAAAGAGACGGAGTAACGACTCGCGACTGCCCTTATTGCTACAACATGATGTAACAGGCTCTTGAGAACGTC